CACACCTGAAGAAGGCTTGCGTTTTCTCCTCTTTTAAGCATGTGTACAATGCTGTAATACAATTTAAAATAATTAAAAGTTTAAACAGTATCAACTAAACTCCATTAATATAAGTATCGAGTGGTATTAAATAAATACAGCTTTTTAGTATAGATTACACTTTTCTAAAATTATTACTAATCTAATCTTTCCACGTTTGATCCCAAAATACCAAGAAAAATAAATCTAAATGGGGAGAAAACTATGCTGAAAGTGTATTAATATACTTAGAAGACAAAGATAACAATTTATGTTGCATTTGTCTGATTGTGAATGAAAAAATACATTTAATTAACTGATCTCAGTGACAGCTGACAATCCTCCATTCACTCAAGTGAAAAATGAGTAATGCCAATGTAAACGTCGTATTTACAATTTGTTGATAATCCCAGTTTATCCTCTTTATCATAAACAAAATCCACCTCAATTTTCAACTTAAAGCATTACACAAAACTGTTAACACAAGACTGTTAGCTGGCTACAAGAAACATTTCTAGGCTGTGATTTCTGCCAAAGGGGGTAATACTAAGTACTTACTGCTCAAACTTTTGCACATATGCCATATTTACTGTTTTATTTTTTCAATCTGTTGAATTCAGCAAATAAATAGTAACTGTGGATTAAAATTTGTCAAGTTTAAGTTTGTTCGCTGCAGAGGTTGTGTTAACTTCTTTTTACTTGGAAAATACACTTAACATGTAATTTGGCCTGGGTAGCCCAAACTTTTGCATACAGCTGTACATGCTCCACTCAGCCAATAACTGTTTATAATGATAAACTGCAGGTTTTGTTAAAGAACTAAAAAATGTTCCTTCACATACCATTATTGCATCATGGGTGTAAGGAGGTGAGCAGGATCAGTCTATGGCCAGTGTGCATCGGTGAGAGTTTAATATATCCTTCGTAGCATTAAGATTAATTCAAATCACAAAAAGCCTCAAAGTACAGCTGCCTGTCATTATTAAAGAAGTAGTCATGGCACAAAGATAATTCCACAAGGAATGACACCCAAGAATTAGATGTGTTTGAGGATATCTGTCATGACATTTGGCTTAAACTGCTTGGATATAGAATGAGGAAGCCAGGACCACCATGCAAAGAGAGGATTTAACCTATGGGAGATGCACAGGTCAGGGTATGGGATGGAGAAGGGGTGTGGGAGGCAAAATGCAAAAAGGAGATTGTTATACGATACATATAACTGAGCAACAGTGTCAGAAATGAGTATGATTTAGAACAGCTGGGACAAAAGGTCTGGGAAAATGTATGAATCGGCTTTACTCTATTTAGTCGTATATTTAGGCATACTGTGTATTCTTGGAAGAATGAAGTAGTTACTTCAGTCTTGCATGACTAGGTGTGTTGGAAAGGAAGATTCAGCTCATGGTTCTGATCCAAAACTTTATGTGCATAACTGATCTTCTGGTATGGTAACCAGGGTTCAAAGAAAGATGGACAAACCTGGCAACACTTATACATTATTCAGTCTGGCCAATAAGGAATAATCAGTAAAGAATAAAGAGCTTGTGAACCATACACAAGACAAATGCACTAAAGCTTCAATGTGTGTAAAATATAGACCAGCCAGATTCCAGCTGTTTTCCTTTCAGTTTTACAAAAACAAATCAGAGAGCATATCAAATTTAAGAATTAAACTGCTTTATTCCTCTAATCTGAACCAAGAATCCGGCAAGTTCATTTTTCGACTTAATACTGTGCTCTAGGCAAATCCAGCAATTTTGGATTTTTGATGGGTGGTGTTTGTCCTGTTGCCAGTGTTCTACTACAGACCCCACAGAGGATCCACTATAATGCTCTGATCTGCGCTTGCAGTGAAGTGCATGAAGGTTCTTGCTATTTTCTCCAGAATGATATCAAGAAGGTTATTGTGCTGAAAAGTAGCATGAATCCAGTGATTCCTTTTTCACGTCCTTGATGAAGGACAGCCAAGAAAATCATTAATTCTGTGTGTGACACAGGCTTAATGGCTGGGCTGCCCATTTCTAGATTATTTCAAGTTAATGTACTGTATGTATGTGGCAGTAGAGAAAGATACAACCTTATTGGTTTTTGAGAAAAGACCATGAACATGGTTGAACAATTAAGCTAAAGACACCAGGAGGATAGCCTGTTCCTGCAGTGTTGTGCCCACAGCCAGCTTGCGTCAGTCACATTCCACAGGGGAACTTGCAGCTTTGATATATCCACTCCACTGACCACAAAGCCCTTTGGTATGAGCAGCAGACAGGACACACAGGCATTGATTATCTGTTTGTTTTTTGAGCTAAGTAACACTCTTACAGACTGGCTTACAGCACAACAGAGTTGAGAAGAGGAGGGTGCTCTCCAACTCTCAAAGAAAAATGCTAAGAAAACAAACAGCGCAGTGATGGCATTTACACATGGCTGTATGGGCCAGAGCTTTTTTGCTTTGTTTTTAATGTACTGTATGTGACTAATAAAGCCAGTGTCCTTATGTACCCACATTTCTAAAATCCCCTGCAGTTGTGCTCTTATGACATAGCTGTGTAGGTTCTGTGCATCTAATGAGGCTCAGACAGCTACGGAATCGGAGCGGTTTCATTCTCCATAGCTTTTTTCCCCACCTTTAGAGAGTCACGAGCCGGTGCCTGATTTAGTAGACAAGGGCGCACAAAGCAGAACTAAACAGCTCTTATTCAGCACGGACTGGAAGCAGGTTAGGATGCAGAGCACTTAGGAAGTGTGCCAGCTGTCACTCACCTCGTTCCCAATGATGTCAATCTTGTGCTGCACCTGTGGCACCCATTGTCTGATGATGGCAAACAGCTCGGGGATCGTGGTCCGGGGATCGTACAGGATTTCCTGGCAGGCCGGGTCATTCGGATCGAAGAAAGTAAAAGCTGAAGAAAGGAACCCCAGGGGAGGAGGTCAGAATTGGCTCAGAAGGATTTGGAACAAACTGTTGCAGTACACAGGGTCAGAGTCACATGATCAAGCAGTGAGCATAGAGATTCTGTGGAAGCATAGTTTAGTTTACATTTAGGCAGGACCCAAGCATTACTTGACAGAATAATTTGTTTTTTATCACAATTTGTGAACACTGCACTGCATGCCATATGTGTTTATAAAGCCATGTGTGTTTGATTAACCATAATTTAATCATAATCTGATTTTTGTATGTATGAATAGTACAAAATAGCTGCTCCACTTTGTGGGTAGTCGTTTTTAATTATTGAATTTGATATCAGCGTAGTTGCTTATTTTATGTTTTTTGCCAAAAAATCCAAATGCACACATGATGTTGTGTGCATTTTCTGGTTTTACCCTAGTTGGTTTCTCAAGTATTTATTTTTCTTGTTGCAGAATGTGCTGTTTGCTCATTTCCGTGTTCTCTCCTTCCTAAAAGACCCAGAAGAGAGGCTGTGTTCTCCTGTAAAATGGCTGACAGAAGAGCAAATGAGCTAGAGGATGAGATCACAGTCAGATGTTTTTAGTCCATACAGTACATGTGTCCTTTTGTTGTTCAGTTGTATGTTTGCTGCTCCTGGGCTGCAGGAAGGTTTCAACCGATGCAAAAGGCACACGAGCCTGTCTGTGGCCGAAAACATAGTTCCCATTGCGAGAGGGGGTATATTTACAGCACAGAGGCATGCCATCACAATTCATCTTGCTGTAGAAGTCCCTGCCCCCCATCTTGGCCAAGTGGGAGTTGGATATTGACCACTTTGAGATCAATACCCCTCTGCTGTCTGTCATAGTCTATTGAACAATCGAGCCCCTGATAAACCCAGTGTAGTGCAGACAGCAGCGACAGAGTAAATCATAACCAAGTGGAATTAAAAAACACATAAATAAAGACAGGCTGCTCCCAGCATCTGTTGACTTCACTTATAGCTGATTCACAAAAGTTCCATTTATTCACACTAAGACATGAAAAGGCACATCAATACCTAGCCTGGCTTTTATAGCTCAGGTGCATCACATAAAGATTGTGCAATTTTGGATTGGATCCATAACAAAACATACGGGATAAAGACACCAGAATAACAGGGTTTTAAAAAAACAACTTATTTATCCTCTTATCCCAAATATTGGCATCTGTATTGTAGTAGACCTGCTCCAGCCAGGGTGGATTAAGAAGGGAGGGTCGGAACTGCTCCTCAAGAACAGGCAGTTTAGCACAGTCAAAGAATGTATTTGGGAGGTAGGAGGAAGCTAGAGCTCCAGGAGGACGCAGGAAGACCATGCAAACTTCACACAGGTGCCCACGCTCATAATGGCAGAAACACTTCGTAAATACTGCTCAGGATACCCCTTGAACTCTGCATACAAAATGATTCCTACATCATTTTTTTTTAAATGGTGGTGGCTCTGAGGCCGGTGTTGTGGCTCTGTGGCTCAGGATCTGCGCCTGTGGCTGGAAGGTTGCTGGTTCGTATCCCGCGGCCAGCAGAGGAATCCTACTCCGCTGGGCCCCTGAGCAAGGCCCTTAACCCCAACTGCTCCAGGGGCGCTGTACAATGGCTGACCCTGTGCTCTGACCCCAAGCTTCTCTCCCTGTCTGTGTGTCTCATGGAGAGCAAGCTGGGGTCTGCGAAAAGATGAATTTCTAATACACAAAATTGTATATGGCCAATAAAGTGGTCTTAATCTTAAATTACACAACATACAAATAGCCAATACACTTCTTTGGTCTCTCCTGTGTGTATTCACAGCTTGATGGTTGTGAGCAGAACTGTGAAAAGACATGCAATTAGCTATTCCAAACTGGGTAGTTATAACAAAATATTTGTCAATTCTAAATCAATCAATCAATTCTAAATGTATTAATACCATGTGGACCCCTGTAGTCTAGCTGAAGCAAATTTAACATAAGAAACTGTGCATCATCTTTGATTTACCGACATACACAAGCAGGCCAACTTGTCTCCAACTAAATAGTCTTAAGAAAGAAACGTGTAGTTTACCGTAGTCTTTTGGAAGAGGAGCCGGAGCTGAGGGGTGGACCATGGGCCTTTTCCTTATCTCCGAAACGGGACTCTGAAACTCCAAGGTAGGTTGGGCATCCCCCACTTCGGCAGTGTCCTCCTTTGTCATCCTGGCAGAGTCCTCCCAAGCTGAGAAATACAAAAAGATGTGAGAGACAAGTTGAGTGACATGGGGGCATGGCTGTCAGCATTGCTGTCTCACAGTTTCAGGGCCCTGGGTTCAGTCTGTCTGCGTGGAGTGTGTATGTTCTCCCTGGCCATAATGGTGTTCTGCAAGGTGCTCCAGTTACCTCCCCCAGCAAAGCTACACCTGCTAGGTTTCATAGCTGCCTTTGTTAAAGCTGAGCTGATACACTATTTTTATATTTCGGGGTTAGAAAGAATAAGCATTGATGAGGGCATTTCAAACCACAATAAAAGTAAATTGTACACAGTGACTTCTAAAACCTCCTATTTTCATTAAAAAGTAAGATGAAATGTCCAGGTATGTGCAGCTCCACAATCTGCAATTCACAAGGCAACACACCTTCCGGTGATGTGGTGCGGCCCTTCTACATTATAAAGATGCAGCCTTGTGAATACATCTCTTTTAATCCAATAGAAATATTGCTCTCGACTTCGAGACAGTTTTGCCAACAAATACTACTTGTTAAATCTGCATGCAGATCACATGGGAACATTTCTGCAGTGAAATGTCTGCTACACAACCTGTACTTATTGGCTCATACAATGCATTCCATCATTACAGTGACTAGTGAGGAGGAAGGGGCTGCATCATATCACAGTTCATGGGAACTCCTTTGACAGGTTTGCGATAACATGGCGACTTTCCATACTTTCACAAAGTTCAAGCTTTTGTGCTTAATTGGAAATTTGTAATTTTTTTCTATACAGTCAATGACTTTCTTTTGTTACCAAGATTTAATAACCAGTCTGAGAAACTGGGACTGCAGTTGACGGACCCTCATTGTGGTCGGAAGGACGCGAGTCATGTGTTCGTCTCTCCTTGTACCCTGTACTCCTGGGAAGAGCCCTGTCTTGCTTGTGTCCAAACCAGGCAGAGCTGCATTCTAACAACCCGCTAAACATGTTGAAACATATAAACATAACACATTGTAGTTTCAGCATTATGTTTTCGTGATGAAATGGCGATGCGTTGATCTTAAAGTGATTGATACTCTACACCAGTGGTTCCCAATCCTGGTCCTGGTGACCCACACTCCTGCTGGTTTTTGTTCCATTCAGACCCTTAGTTACACAGTCAAACCTTTCATTGACTTAATAATAGTAAGATAGAGTTAAAGCTCTTAAACATGCTTGAGCTTTAACCATTTGTTTTGTAAGTGAAATTAATTTCCATACTTGTGACTAGAGTATTATTCAAACAAAGCAACTTCCTAGATAAATTAAGGCTTCAGTGATCTAATGAAGGTGGGCTGGGATGAAAACCAGCAGGTGTGTGGGTCACCAGGACCAGGACTGGGAACTGCTGCTTAATATCAAGCAAAGGGCAAGGGAATAGAAATGCACCCTTTCTATTCATGTTTTTATGAATTTGATGATCACTGTATGCTATGCTGTGTTTTGTGGGGCAGAGAAACATGGTGCTTCTTGTATAACATTATGCCAGAAATAGGAGATACTGTCATCTGCTGAAGGAGCAGACCTGTCAAAATTATTCATACTAAAACGGATCTCACATATGCAGCATGTAAAATTACTTCTCAATGTGTTTGTATAATTTATAGTTTTAAATGTATTACATTTTAATGTTAGTATGATGACATTTTCATAGTTGTTCAACTTCATCTTTTATTTATACAACTTTTATTTATACAAACTTCTGATTTAAGACTTATGGAGCATTAAGAATAGTGAAATGGTATATTATGAGTTTGAGGGGAGCATGAATTTTCTTCTTATTTACTGTGAAGTCCAAGAGACCCATTTACAGTATAAAACAGAGAATTTACCTGAAGTACCTTGTTACCTGCCCTTAAATACAACTGAAATAGTTCAGAGGAACACAGGGGCCAAGGTTACAAGGGGACACTACCCTGGCCCATACCTCAAAACTAATTCTGTGCCAAACGTCAACAGTATGATAAAACAACAAGTAAAAATTGACTGACCCTACCAAAATCAGACATACTGTGTGTACAGTGCTTATCTTATTTTGAGTAGAGGGGTTCATGGATGTATTTACATAGCCAACACAGCAGTTGAGTTGCGCTGTCCTTCACATCCTTGTAGTGTTGCAGACTACAAAGTTCCCTGAGTCTACAGTAATTTGTTGTTTTAACCTGAACCACATCAGTTGCAGATTAGACAGGTTGGCTTTTGATTTCTGGCAGTCACTGATACACTGATTGTCTAACAAATATTTACATTTTCAGTGGTTTAGACTGACCTTGGTATTAAGACTAAGAAAGGAGAGACCGGGTCATGGTGTTCAACTGGGCAGTATGCTGCGCATAACCACAGGCTCAAAAGTACAAGAAAAATATTGTGGCATCATACAATAATCAAAACTCCCCAAACCTCTACAGCAGTCTGTTATTCCTGATTGGTTTTCACAAGGGCCAGTCTTTTGTGAGGATCAAAACAAAACGCAAGGCTCTGCGAATCTGTTGACATGATGCTGAAGTGGTTTTGAGGAACACCAGGTACCATAGCTGTTGAAAAGCTCAACACATGCTTGGCCCAAAAGCACAACATGCCCCAGGGAGCAGCTGTGCTTGTTTCCATCAGCACTTGATAAAATTAGTATTTTTCACACTATGTATTAGTGTGAATGAATCATTTTTGCAGGGGAAGCCAAGTGTCTCTTTCCCATTTAGTCATGTTTCTTTGATAAAAGAGTGGAAAGGCAGAAATACAGCACCATCCTCCCCCCACCGGCTTTCCTCACTCCCCTACATTATTGTACAGTACAACGTACAGTAGTACTACCAAACAGGCCAGGTGGGCTGACTGGTCTTTTGAATCTGTGTAAACTGTAGCCTACGTTTCAAACTCCAACAGCTGTCTTGTGTTTGTTCCTTTACCCTACAAATGTGTTGTCTTTGTCAGTCACTTTTATTGATTTAATACTTTTTACGATCTAGAAGATCCACCTTTCCTTGAGAATGCTTGTTTTGATGCAACCTTTGATGCAATTTACAGCTTTAAAGCTGTGCTTTGTGTTACAATATGATAGAGAATGGAATTCCCTATTTAGATACAACAAAGGCCTCAGCATTTTTATCAACTGTTTTTGACCTGTGATTTGCATATTGACCTGGCAGTGTTATGATATAGCATTGATCTTTTTCTCTGCAAGGAAGATGGCTGAGTTCATAAAAAGCTAATTTAAAGTGTGCAAAAACTGGCTGGGTCTTCTGTCTCTCTTAGCTAATTTGGTCACAAACTTGATACATCCACCTTTATGACTGGTCAGGCTTTCACCCGTATTTCGAAAAGACTATTTTAGACGTGATGTTCCGACCATCAGAGGGAAGAGAATCTCACTGGGGCAAAGGGAGGCACTAGACTGAAATGCTGGAGGCACTCAGACCTGTCACGATCCTCATCCCTCTTCTTAAGGGTGCTCTGACCCTTTCATATTTTAGTTTATTACGTGCATCTGTCCCCTGTTTGTCCGTGTTTATTTAAGCCTATAGCTCCCGCTATTCCTGACTCAGCATTGGGAGATGGACGCCCGGAAGCCCACCTACCGGCGGGTCCAGGAGAGACCCAACGGCACATGCTTCATCACGGCATCCTGACCGTCTGAGTCCGGGGCTCGGAGCGCCTGGCCTTATGACCCTGGTTTTATTCCCTGTCCCTGTTCCGGATACCGTTCCGGGTTTTAACCTTGTTTTTCTCGTCTTGGATGGATCCCTGGTTCCTGGACTCTGGACTGCGCCCCGGATTTCCCCCTTGGACTGTCGGGATCAGTTTGCCTTTGCTACGCCCCCTGAGCACTGGATCACCACTGTCACGCCCCCCTGTCTGTCGACCCGTCTTGATCCTCTACATCTCTTCCCTGTTGTCCTTCTCCACTTACTTCCGGATTATACCGTCTGCATAGGGTCCTGAACTACACTTCACGGGAGCCTGGACCGGCCTCCATTACAACACCAAGAAACCGATGGACTCATACCAAGTTTCTGACGTCTTTGTGGCAGAAGTCCACAAGTCATGCATTAAAGAGAGATGATTCTAAATAAGGGATAACACAACCAAACTAATTTAACATTAGTTCAGGTGGGTAGCTGTGTAGGCTGCAAAGGAACAAGTTATAGGTTTATTCCATGCTGAAAAGAGAAGAAACCTATTACTTGTTAATTTACCATTATACCCATTATACACCCTAAAATGTTCTGTCTACAGTAAAAATTTAAAGCAGTTAAATAGTACACTCCCAAAATTACTTGTTTATTCCATTTCACTAGGTGCAAGAGGGATACATGAATTTGAAAAGTTGCGCTTGTGTGTAACAGTGCAAATGAAATGGGTAGTCAAGATCAATGAAGGGATTACACAAGCACTTGACAGATTCTGCTTGGATTCGCTCCTTGTATGAAAAAGATCTGTACATATTTGTACTGTATATGTTACACATTGTACTGTTTTAATGTTGCCATTACTTGGTCATTGGGAATGAATCAATTGTTGTTTTTCTACTCTTTTTACTTAAGCAGTCTTGTAAACCCCTTGGTTTCTCAATCTTTCAGTTACATCTGTTGTTTCTGGAATACTTTAGTCTTCTATAGTTTTGCAGAGATAATCATTCAGGCCATGTGTGTTGAGTTGGTAACTTTTCTAGATGCATTATGTTCTTCTTTCCAAGAATGAATGTTTAATAACCGTCACAGTCATGCAAATGACGTTTATCAATCAGCGTTTTGCGCCCTATCAAAGAACGTTTGAGACAGAAAATTCGGAAAGGCAATGTTAGCTGCACTACTGTAATGTATTTTAAAAACAATATGCTAATGTAGAATTATTGATTTACTAAAAATTATATTGCACGACATCAACAAACAACAAGACCCCGAACACAGCGAGGTTAAATTGCAACTTAATTACAAATTATACGAGACCATTTTTCTTTCCATGCAGAATAAAGTTAGCTTGGCCTCTTCCTCGAAATGTAAAAATACGCACCTGTTTTTTCTTAAACGTCACATTCTTAAATCCCCACCTTGTGGGCGACTTTCGATCCCACGTAAACGTCAAAAATGTTTTAAAGGAGAAAGCACCTGACATCGGCTGTGTCAGCTAATGCAGATTGTAAAAAAACATCCTTTACAATATGAACAAAATAGAGCAGTGTATTCGAGGGGTATTAGAGTACACTGTTTTACAGACTGAAACCAATTGATTGTCGCTGGAACAATCAAATCGCTGGAAAATATATATTTGCAGTGTACAAAACATCATCTGAAGCTGAAATGTTAAATTGGAAAACGGACACATTATCGTTAGTGCTTTAATGCTAAAAACTACACGTCGTTATTCACTATTTTATCAATATACGAGGCTCCGAAATCCCTCTAGAACACATCACGTGATCGTTTAAGTATTTGTTTTAATTGAAACGGCTTTTTTCCCCGTCTGCATCGCGAATATTAATTCAGACAAGACGGGTAAAGACGGGGTCTCCTCTGTCTGGCGTCTTTCACCAGATCCTGTGCATCTGCGCCTTCCGCTTCTCCATCGTCCTATTGTTCTGCCTCCGCGAGCGACACGGAGCAGGAGCATCCTCGCTCGCTGGGAAGCGCAGGAAGCCATCGCCCTGCCCTTTCTCCAGAACAGAAAACATTCCCGTGCAAAAGACGAGCCTGTTTGCAGTGCGTTTTATTTCACATCACGATAGCAGCCACGAACCAGTCAGTCATCGTGCGACATCTTTTATTTAAAAAAAAAAACCAAACCTCTTCGAGACTTACCAAATGGCGAGCCCCTGTTGTTGTTGTTGGTGGTGTTTTTTCCTCTTCTCCTCTCGCAGCCGGAGCTGGTCCTGTGCCCGTGTGAGAAGGGGCGCTGATGCGCTGTGTAGATGATGCTGCTGCTGCGCCCGTCTCCCGTCTCCCCTTCTTCTCTCCGCCTGCGTCAGCCTGACTCACCCAGGGACCGCAGCGCGCTCCCTTCACCGGCGCCTGCCACTCATCAGCGTCGCGGGCTGCACTTTCTAGAAGGAATCTCAGGCTGCTGGGGAGAGCAAGCGGGGCTCTTTCCTGGAAAAATCGCCTTAAAAAGCTACCCGCCCACAATCAAAAGCTGCAGTTTTAAATTAATTGAGCCCTCTCTGGTTCAATTTTCTTCAGAGGTGCCAGGAGCTTAAGGGAATTAGCTTGGCAAGTTTAGATCAGTCACATTCAATGTTATTTTTTAAAAGACTTAACAGGATGATGAATGTTCGGTTAAGTGTATTGGATGACATTGTGACTTTAATCTCCACGGATTAAATATACCAAATTTGGCAGTAGTTGGTGAAGTTGTATATCCTTTGAGTTTAATCACAGGTAATTAGTGAAAGTTAGGAGTGGTTTGTGTGGGTTGCTTACTCTAATATTGGGTATACCTTTGATATTATTTTTTTCCAAATTACCATGCTGAAAAGCAGCTCTAAAATTATCAAGCACTTTATTGTCTTCCTTTTTTTGTGGTTGCTTTGTCCTGCTGTTTATATAATGTCTGATTTCCAGACATCTGTTAAAATATTTTTTTTCCATATTGCATTGTTGTGATTGATCTTCAAAGTTTTTCAAATGATCGTGCTTAATCATAGTACATATTGTCGTAATCCCTTTCGTAGCCCAAATCCTAAATCGAAAGCTATCCACCTTAATATTTTAACCTCTCTCTCCAAGTCGTAGGCTTTTATTATCTTAAGTCAAGTTTAAATTGGTAAAATTGCCCAGGTATAGCTGTTTAATATATAGTTTCTACCAATGATCTATCTCCCAGGACCGTCTGTATTGGAAATTCACCTATAATCAAAGACTACATCTCCTTCCATTTTGCAGTACAATATCTATCACACCAGCAGATTAGTGTTCTAAGATGAGCTGCTTGGTAGTATGACTTTAGGCAAGGCTGGCCTAAACCACCTTTCTCCTTGGTCAGTGGTACCGTTGCTAATTTAATTCTTGGCTTCCTTTCATTCCAGATGAATCATGAATCATTGTATCCCATTCATTAAACTGCTCTGATGGGATTTCCAGAGGAAGAGACTGAAAAAGATATAATCGCGGTAGAATATTCATTTTATTAACTTCCACTCTAGATCCCTCTCCAGCCAGCCAGCTCATGTTTTATTTTACGTATTAAAGGGCTGAAATTTAAATTAAATCACCGATAATAAGTTTGTTGTAGCCGATACGGATATCGATAACCGACAATAAGTTTGTTGTAGCCGATACGGATACTGATAATTGGTAATTTTACTTTTTTGCATTTTAAAACAAGTTCACACTATAATCCACAGCTGGTGTGTAATGAGGGCAAGAAAACTAAAACCCTGTAAAGTTTAGCATACTCATCAGACTATTGTCAGAAGTCCATGTGTCCGTTGTGAAGCTAATGTCTCTGACGTCAGCTTCGATCAGGTTGTGTACAGTATGTGTGTGCAACAACATCATACAGGGCCGGCACGGCCTGGGAGAGTGTAACGGGGTTCCAAGCGCCCAATTAGTTGACGGAATCCTCGATCCTCCACAGTCGAGAAGGGCTGGTCATCAAGTGACAAACTCCATGATTTTGTCTGTGACTGCCCTAGCCCTCGCACTGTCCTTGGCAAATTTTCTGCAATTTTCAAATGTCTGTTGGACAGGCTGTCACGATCGCTACTGCTCCTCTTAAGGGTGCTCCAGCCCTTCCTTGTTTGGCCCCATTACCCGCACCTGTTCCTTATTCCAGCCCCTCTTCGGTTCCCCCTTAAAAGCCAGACGCAGACGTCATTCGAGTCTCTTCATTGAATTCTGTTTCGTGAGAGCCCAGGTCCTGCTGCGTCTGGCTCCGTTATGGTTTTAACTTTCTGTTCCTGATCCCCCCTGCTGGTCCCGATCCGGTTCCTGGTTTTTAATCCCCTGGATGAATCGCCTGGCCATGGATTTAAGCTTTTGTTTTGGTTTCCTGTTTGGATTTCGTCTGGGATTGTTTGCCCCAGACTCACTTCCCCTGGACACCTGCACACCTAGGACATGACCCCTGTCTCCATTCCCGTCTCCTGCATGACTTTTCTCCCGGTGTTTTCTCACTATTCCGGATTGTGTCGTCTGCATAGGGCCTGGAAAGAACTGTTCATGACAGGCATCGCTGCACTTGCTACTGCTTTCGTTCTCTTGCTAATGCTAGCTGCCTCATATTCTTTCAATAAATCACTGGAATGATGAGTTTCCTGAAAACGTTGAATCTTAGAGACTAACGACCAATTTTACGATGTACATACGTAACGTATGTGCTACTTTTTCGTGCGTTTCCCAAAACCCCTCTTAATCGATCATTTTACGAGCGAGTATAAAGTACTTCTTTGTTAGCCCCGCCCCTGAAGTCGCTTAGCAAAAAGCATCACAAGTTGATTGAAAAACAATCGATTGACAATACTTCCATTATATGGTGTCGGTTTTGGTCCTTCAGTGGGATGAAATAAAGTTGTGAAAAGGAATATGAAGTAAACATGACATCATAATTTAACAACCATTTAAGCGAAAGCATATAGATAGGCACAAAATGGGACACTTATTGTTTCTAAGAGAAAAGAAAATAAATGAGATGCCGTAAAAGAAAACCAAGTTTAACTGTGTGGACAGTGTATGCGTCCTGTACGACGTCTTTGATTTAAAGCAAGATTGTTTTGGCGCGTTGCCGTTGTTAAGAATCACAGTGTTTCATGAGAAAATACTGTTGTTATTTATAGTTGTTGGGTGTATTGGAACTCCATTTGAATTGGTCTTATTAACATGACATCTGGAAAAATTAACTGCTAAGCTTGGCATGTGTCACTCAACAAATAAAGGACCTATAATCAAATTTAAAAACAAGTAGGTCTAAGCTTTGCTGTCAACAATCACGACAGAACATAAAACGGTATTCAAACTTTGAATATTGTATCGACTGCGGGTTTCGGTACGGAATGGAGTAGGCATGGGACTCAGGGAATGGGGCTGAACAACACATTTATTAACTCAAATCGGGAAAGGTACACACACAGGTACAGGGGTTACAGTGCTGCACCTACACTAACACACACAAACACGAAGGGAAGAGACTGTATCCCAGCCTCCGTCCCACTATATAGTCCGGTAGTCCCCAGGTGCTGTTCTCAGCCCGCCTTGTGTGCACATGGCTAAAGCGCCCTGCATGGCCCTACATTATAAATACATGTTCGGCCCAATGATTTAACTTACATAATGCATTGCTGCATTTCATCATGAAAATCATATCTAGTCAAGTATAAAACTTAGCATTTTTTATTTTTTTAATTAAGTGTATTGTAACGGATTGGGGTTCTCTGGGCATGTGCTTTTGCCGCTCCCATACAAATACAAGTAGAGGAGAAAATACAGATAAAAGAAAACATAAACCGAATAAAAAACAATTAACTGCCAGTGGTAATGAGGTAAATATTTATGTAACCAAGTTATATTTTTACATATCAAATGTTTTCCTTGCTTTGGCATTTTTCACATTCTTTATGGAATTTAAATAAAATTTATACCCCACCTCAAAAGTACTAAAAGAGGGAGTATTATCAAAACATTTGACTTATGAATATGAAATTTACCCAAGATGACTAATAAATTTATTACTGTATAAATGTTCTTTTTTCAAATTACCTCTTATATAGTACAACAAAATATCAAAATTCTTAATATAAAATCTTAGTATTCTAAATTTCCAGAGAATTGTCATGACGTGAATTGAATGTGCTGTCTGGCGATCTTTTTGGTGGGTTTTGGGATGGGTTTTGGGAAACACTCGTAAGTTTACGATAGATCTTAAGATCAGGTTTACGACGTTCTTACCGTTACGATGCTTTCGGAAACACCCCTATTCAGTTGACTCCCATATACTTTAACACATTAAAGGCTCACGCTCCGTTTATATAACTATTGCTTAAGTTCTGTTCTCTTTACTCCCTAGGATATCTTAAAATTCACAGCTAATAATAATGATTGACATTAAATGTTATTATTAGTAAATTACACTTCTGTTAATACACACTTATTATTCAACTTCATTATTAATAAATATATTAATATATAAAAATATATATAAAAGAGATATAAAAATGTGGTATGAGTGTTAAGCAATTTGAGTTAAATATTGCAATAATTTTCTAAGCGACGGATGTATAAATTCAATTTGTAGTGACGATATTAGTTCCATGACATTCGGGAGCCTTCTGGTGCTTCTAATTACGGTACTTAGTCGCTTAAAGTTTAAACCATTTGAAGAGGTGGTTTAACTTAGTCCGCTACTTTAGTCATCTCTAGAGGGTAGCAGCTGTTACTTTGTGTTCGTTGCAATTGAGAACAGAGAGGGGTGAGTTTCAGGAAAGCATCGTAGTGTTAAGAACATCGTAAACTTAAGATCTATCGTTAATTTACGAGTGTTTCCCAAAACCCATCTTAACTAAAGTAGCATGTTAAATCCTTCGTAATCTACGTCTTCCCTGAGCCACTCGTTAATCACTAACCTTAGCGCCAGAGATCGCCAGACAGAGCACATTCAATTCACGTCATGACAATTCTCTGGAAATTTAGAATACTAAGATTTTATATTAAGGATTTTGATATTTTGTTGTACTATGTAAGATGAATTTTGTAAAAAGTACATTTATTTATACAGTAATACATTTATTAGTCATCCTGGGTTAATTTCATATTCATAAGTCAAAAGGTCCAATAATACTCCCTCTTTTAGTACTTTTGAGGTGGAGTTAAAATTTCATTTAAATTTCAGTTGTGAAAATGTTCTGATGCACAGTCCCCTGCAGTTCGGGCTAATTAGTACAACAACAACGCCGAGCCCTGGGAACCGGGTTAAGCTCAAATTCAACTGAACTCCAGCTTTGTTCCGCATGTTTTTTCGCTGCAATTGAACTCAGAGCTGGAGATGATCTCCAGAAACTACCGTGCTAAACTGCAACCTGGTTTCGGTTTTGGTACTTTTGCTGTCATTCTGGTTTTGACTCTCGGTTCCCTAAGGATTACGGCTCTGGTCATTTGTACTTTAGCACCGGCTAGTTTACCTGCGGGTTTCTGACCTCGATTGTTCTTTCGACTACGCCTTTGGGAGTTTGCCCTGGTTTTCTGCATAGGGTCCTCACTACTAATTCCTAACACACTTCTTTACCCGAAGGGTTGTGGTTTTCTGGAACATGTTCCTGAAGCCGATACCCTGCCCAGTGGGCAAAAGATGTAGAATATACGTCTATTTAACGCATAAGTTAGACGTATAAAAGTGGTCCGTAATTCGTCTAGAATGAAATTCTAATAAACGTATATCTTTATACGTCAATTATACATTTATGATTATATGTTCATTATACATAAATGGTTCTATTATACGGATAAATTTAGAGGACTATTATACATATATGGTTAAATTTGTAGCTGAAGTTTACTAGTTGTGTTTTTTATGATGATTAGCCACATGTTGATTACAATATTGTATATAATGTATAATTTGAGCTAGATATTTTTCAGGTGTGAACGATTGTATTATTCAGAATACATTTCTAAACCAAATCACTGGCTTGATTTACTAGTTTCTACACCTATAAAACCTATCTTTGATGTATAATAGACCTTTAAGTAAAATGGCAATATATATGATGATTAATATTTTCTTGAATATAATCTAAAAATAGAACCATTAACTTTACTAAGCTTAAAACTTAATCAATGTATTAAATTTAGCTTGCATCATAGTAATTGAGCAATAAAGTCTGTCCTAATTAAAGAGTACTGTTCCTGAAGCCGATACCCTGGCGTCTGTCCAGTAACAAGTATAGAAGGTATAACATAGAAATAATATAGGAAGGTATCTAAACAGCCTTGTGAGGAGAATTTCACATGCGAGACACGACCATCGTGAGCTCTGACAGCGTGCCTCAGCTGCTGCTCACAGGTGTGTTCCAGTTTTGTTGTTTTTGCAGTTTGCTCATATTTCCCCCAGAGCTTTATTATTCCATGTGTCACCTGAGAGCCTGCTACCAGGCGTGCCTCCCTCCCTGGCACAGTACATATCCACTTTCATTCTGTATACTGTGTTTCAAAATTCACAGACCTGCGCTGCCGCCAGTGCCTGCTATCAGCACACAGTGCAGTGCTGAGGTGTCACTGCAGCTGAAGAGAATGGAACTCTTCTCCTTCCTCGGGAGCAACATCCTCACTCTGCTGCTGAGTTTGTTGTTCCTTGCACTTCTCTGGAGGAGCCGCAGCAAGCAAAGTCAGCCCAGCAGGCTGCCCCCGGGGCCAGCTCCATGGCCCTTCGTGGGCAGCCTGCTGCATGTGGACCTGAAGCAGCCCTACAGGTCCTACCTGAAGGTGAGTGGCCACTGCTGGAGCACACAGCACACACAGGAGGCTCTGACAGACCGTTTCTGTGGGCAGAGCCTAGGGGTGTTTACACCTTGATTGTCAAAAGGCTTAGTTACTGTATAGCTTAAGATTTATGCTATTAAATGTTATATAAAGCTGCTGTTAATGTCTAACTTAAAACTTTACATTCCAAAACATCTAGCAAGCCGAAAAATTCTGTATGGTTGTTATATTACTATTTTACAATTTGCAGAACAGACTGTGGACTTTACTAGAAGGATTTGCATGTTTGTTTGTGAATCTGCTCCGTGTCCCCTGCATAGACTGTAGTCCCTGAATATATACTGTACCATGAGTCAAGTCACAGCTCTATAGATGGGTTTTTATTTCTATAAATGCACATTAGTAATGTTTTAGCTCTGCGTTTTGGAGGTTTGGTACTGATTGAGAATAAATACAACACATTTTTTCTCTTGTAGTAGAATTTAGTACAATTGTTAAGGAATGAGGGGTGGTTAGCATTGCTGCCTCACAGCACTGGGGTCCTGGGTTCAGTTGGGGATCTGGGGTGCTATCTGCATGCAGATGCTTCTTTGAAAACCGGTCCTGGTGTGAGTGTCTGTTTGCCCTGCCATGGGGTCTCATCCAGAGTTTACCCTGCCTTGTGCCTGTTGGTAGGATGAAGCAGTTAGGAAATGTGTAGATTAGGTACTATAGGTAGGTTAGGTCCCCTTTTCAGGCCATAAAGGCCCATGGGGGAATGTGGGGCAATGCCTCCATTTTTCTTGGCCATCTGACGCTGGAGGTGATGTGGTCGGCATCACGTTCCGGCCAGCCTGTTACCCCCAGAAGGATTAACCCAGGTACTCATTCAGCAGGCTGAGTGACCTGGGAGCCGTCTGGAAGGAATAAGAGCTCCATCGCTTGCCGCTACCTGGGATTGATCCCGGGACCTTCCGGTCAGGAGCCGGACACCCCTGCTGTCTGAGCTACCATGGCTCCTGTGTAGATGAATTACAGAATGAAAATCAACAAAAAAATGATGAAAGATATAAATGTAAATTTTAGGTGCAAAGCAGAATGATGGGTTCCTGTGTTGCATGTTAACACATTCAACTCACCATTCAAACATTTCACACCATTTTCTATACATGGATTGAAAGGAAATATGTTTAAATAAACTGTCTTGTTCAAGCTCCCCAAATTGTTCAGTATAATGCTGCTTTATATACTTTAATGTTTGCATCACAATGTAAAAGTGCGTTGTTGTAGCGTCAAATGGGTACTATACTGTTGAGAGCAGATGAATGGAATTCATATTGTTCGGTATTGTATGTAAAGAGTTTAAATGCTATTGTCATTACTTTTTTATTGAGATACATTGTTATAAATAGATTATAGTGATTGTTTAAATAGTGAATTTCTCTAGAGTTGGTGGAGTTTCAGGGAAAGCTTTTATTAGTAAATACAGTACATTTAGACTTCACGGCCGAAACGTTGTGTTTTCTTTCTTCTCTTTTCAGCATGGAATAAACCTATTGTTCCTTTGCAGCCTACACATGCTGACGCAGCTGCCCACCTGAACATTTAGACTTTAGACTTTTCAGACTGTCTTTTGCTTTAACCTGTAATAACACCAGAATGTGCAAATAAGGTGCCCTGAGCAAGGTGCTGTGACGGTGGGTGGTGAGTGATTACAGAGGGGCAAAGCCGGAGTTTTCACACTGATGTCGTCTTCCTGCGGAACTGTTAAGAACTCAGTTAAAGAATTTTTGTCCTTGTACAACATAGGAATGAAACATCTGATAGCTTGGTTTAATATTTTTTTAATTGTTTTTTAAACTCAGACGTGTGTATAATTCGCAGCATTACAGTATTTCTCAGGTGTTTCCAAGATAATATCTCATGTAGCTGGTAAATGTGAAGAAACCACTTTCTGGTCACCGACTTGACACAGATTTTGGTGATGCAAAGCTTGTGCCAGCTGGCAGCCCCTGGGCTGCTGACCTGGGCTGCCATCACCAGAGTGAATGCTTCTATGTGACAACAAGAGGGACAGCAATGAAAATAGTTTTTATTATATAAAGATGAATATTTTATGAACTGCACAATCCAAACTCTTTTTAATGCCCATATTCACAGTGGTCAGTCTTCTTTAGAGCAAAATCCCTGTTGGCCTTTCATGTCACTCTTAATTCATTCATTGGTAAAAATTCAGGGAGCACTCTTGAGTTTTCATCAATTTAGAAACATCCCCACTTTTGCTAGTGTGGCTCAGAGGACATTTACAAATCAAACGCCAAGGGGAGCTGTGTTAGGTTCCAGGAGTTTTTCTGGGTTTATTTAAAGGTTTTAGCACAATACTATAAAGCCAAATGCTTTTAAAAGATGATCTTAATACTTGCTTTCACTGTAAGTCTTTTAACAATTAACTTATAAACAAACACTACATTTTGGACTCCACTTAAAACTTTCACCATTTCAGTCTGCTCACACTCTAGTTACTTCCCAATGACCACTGCCACAAGGAGACACCATTTTTAATGAAGTAATCCCATAATTACTAGTACCTTTAATGGAAATGTAAACCTTTCCGTAACTGAGTGTAACTCATTTTAAAAGCGTCTATTTAGGTTTTTGGCGGCCTCTAGCGGACGACCATAGTCATTGCAGTCCTTCCATTGGACACCCTATTCTACACAGGGAACCCACCTTGTTCCAGCGTTTGTAAGACTTTAAGACTACAGTTAATACTAGCTCTTAACGCTTTTTTTTTCAATTTCTGAACTTCTAAGTCTTAATTAATTCGCAAAAATGTTATTACTGTTACACAACTGAGATGAAACAATATCTACCAGGCAGTGTATCTGTGCTGTGCCTTACAATGTTTAGAACATATGTAAGTTAATTTGGAAAGATTCAAACGCAATTTGTGGGTTTAAAAATAAATTTTACCTTTATCCTCCACCTCACTGTCTGTGTATGTATTTGTATTGGAGTTGTAGTACGGAGTCTTCTCATGCTGGACCTGAAAAGGCTGGTCATTTATGAATGACGTTTACAGAGACAGTAGACCCGCTGTGTACTGGGTGCTGGTGCCGAAGGGCCGGTTCCCGTGGTGACGGCTTGTTTCTTCCCCCAGCTGAGCCAGCAGTACGGCCCGGTGTTCACAGTGTGGCTGGGCAGCAAGCCAGTGGTGGTGCTGTCCGGCTACAGGACCCTGAGGGACGCCTTCGTCAGTCAGGGCGAGGAGTTCAGTGGCCGAGCCAACTACCCTATACTACAGAAGGTGACGGACGGATACGGTGAGTCTCGGTTTTTGGCGGGGGCAACAACACTAGGAAAAAAATTCTCTTGATGCCGGATGAAAAGCTCACCAGGCCAAATGTATCTCAGAGTCTCTACTGTTAGTTGGTCACCTTGCCTTGGGTGGGCTACAGGGCTACTAACCAACAGTTCTGGTGTAATATCATTTTTATTGTCGAGGTGCCAGCAGTTTGGGCAGGAGCAATTGGAGTTAAATACATTGTGCAAGTTAAGTCTTTTTACTAGGCTTGGTGTTTTTCACAATTTCTACAGAGCAGCAGAAGAAATCTTTCATGAAGTTCTAAGTAAGATCATCGGAGAACCCCCAGCAGCAACACATGTCAGTCTTTGTGTCTCTGCTGTTCCAGGGGTGCTGGTGAGCAGTGGGGACAGATGGAAGGAGCTCAGAAGATTTTCCATCATGACGCTGAAAAACTTTGGGATGGGGCGGCGCAGCATTGAGGAGCGCATCCAAGAGGAAGCCAAGTGCCTTGTCAATGCCTTTGCAGAGCACGGGGGTATTTGGGTGACGTTTTTGTCATAAATTGACATGATAATCATAAGAACAGTTTTCTGTAAAAGCAGACGGTGCAGACAGCTTTGGTCTTCTTGTCTTCTTGTCTTCAGAGGTATTTTGCTTTCAGACATTCGCGCAACAGTTAAGGAAACTGAAAACGAACAGTTTCTGTTTCTAAACAAACAGCAGGATTCCAGGAGGTACAGAACCATGCTTCTGCACATGTAAGATAGCAGTAATATGTGTAGTCTAAGAAGTCTTAATTCACAGTAAACGATTAAATGAATATCGGTCCATTGTCGAGATTCATTCTGTACAAAAACACGCCAAGGCAGCCTGGTGTACCCTTTGTATAGAATACATGATGACTTGCACTTAAAAATCCAGAACTAGCAAAGAAAACATTGCTCGGGTGCCAAATTATGATACACATTAATGATGCTTTGTTCCTAAAACAACAGACTTCTAATACAAATATTTACTTCCATTTATATAGTGCCTTTTGTTCCAATGGATGGAAAAGCTCTTAGTATTTATACAATATAATGAATTAATTGCTGAGTTGAATTAAGGAGAAACTTGAAGTAAGCCAGACTGTCCAGCCCAGAGTGGGGATGGCCAAGGTACCGGGATAATGCCCCTATTCTTTTGAACAGCGCCCTGGGATCATTCATAGCCAAGCAATCTCTATCATGTCATCCGAAGGACAGAACCTTCTATAGTACAGTGTTTCTGTATACTAGTATTCCTTCTGGTCTCCCATCCCAGTGTTAACCATTGTTTTCATTTTCACTCTTAATAATGTTTATTCTGATCATGTTGAAATTCTCTCAATAACATGAGTTCATGTTTAGCTTATTTTAAATTAGGTGTTAACATTTTGACATTTAACATTTTGATAGTTGTCTCTGGACCAGATTAAAGCTGTTCCAGTTACTTGCACAAAACTGACAGCAGATTTTGATTTGTATATAATTGATTTGACACCTCAAATCAGATTCAGATTTCAGATTTGACACCTGAAATGATATACCATTTCTTAGTCAAAACATGTATAGTATATTCTATCGAATAGCTATTCTCCTGTCGCACACAACCGTTAACAATTGTTCTTTACATACCAGAGTAATTCCATTTCTCGGTTCTGACATTTCCCAAAATGCTCTGCAACAGTGTCCTCTAAATTAACAAAACAAAATACATGGTAGGCTGTGGAGTGTTTTTTATATTCCAGAGCACATGAACTTTTCCATCTGCGATAGCACTCAAAAGCGAGTCGCCACTAGATGGACAGAAAAAGTGAACAGAAAAAAGAAGCTTCTTGGGATGCTATTCAATAAAGATAAATATTATTCCCTACAATTCCCTGTAGTATTTTTAATTATGAAAGTTCCCATAGCACTTTAAAAAACAGGACTGGATCCATTTCATCCACCACTGAAGTGCAGCCCCTCCTGCATGACGTTCCTCTGGCGTTCTGTATAAACTGCCACAGTGATAACATACAAACTCTACAGAGATAGTACTGTACCTCAGGTCCAGAATTGAACCCAGGGCCCCAGCGATGCAAGACAACAATGCCAGCCACCACACCGCTGTGCTATAATTATACTAGCTTCGTTTTCAAAAATAAAAATAATGTGTCAAACATTTGTTAAAATATTTTAGATGCATTTTAGATTTAAAGCACACAGCCTTTAAATCTAAGACAATGATAGTACTTTTTTATACCCCTTTTGAGTCTATTTAAGAAATTCGCCTACACAAAAAAAAACAGAATGGAATTCAGTTCTCAGGAGAGTTATCATCACTTGTAGCTGTACAGGCAGAACACAAGAATTGTTGGAGACGAGAGGTAATTCAGCCTCTCCAACACATTTGATAGTTAATTGATCCCTGGATCTCATTCAGCTGTTTCCTGAAAGAAACCCAGTATCGGCTTCAACAACATGGCTGGGTAGCTTGTTCCACACTCCCACAACTCTTCTGTAAAGAAGTGCCTCCTGCTCACAATTCAAAATGCACTTCCCTGTAGTTTCCTGTTGAGCCCTCTGTGAGTTCTGTGCCTTTGATGATTTTGAAGACTGTGATCAGATCTCCATGTAGACATCAGGTGTTTCAGCCTGTTGGTGTAGGACATCCCTTTTAGCCTGAGAATGTGTAATGTTCTTCGACGCCTCTCCTGTTTTTACAGATTCAGCTTTCAACCCTAAATTCCTGCTGTGCAACGCTGTATCCAATGTAGTTTGCTCCATTGTTTTTGGAAAGAGGTTCGACTACCATGACAGCCAGTTCAAGAGTCTTCTGAATGTCATTGACAACTATTTCACTTTCCTGAGCAGCTCCAGAGGGCAGGTACATTTGTCATCTGTCAAGCTGTCAGAAGCTCTTTTGCTTTTTCAGCAGCTTTCCACTGTTTCAATCTTTTTTTCCCATTATTCTACTGCTGTGCTATCACAAACAGTATTTAATAAGAAAGGGAAACCAAAATACCTTTGTGTTCATAATAGAAATGTTGTCTTTTCTTAAATATTCATCAGAGACTTATCAGAGCAAGTAGCCCATATTAAATGTCAGTACATTTTAATTTGACCAATTTGTTTTATTTTAAACTGCACTAAGACACATGTGAGGCCGACAGTAATATGTCATGAACTCATTTGTTATCTGAAGCTTGTCAGACCAGTTAGAAGGGATCCTCCATGGTCTTCTGTTTCATAAATGTAACTGCAGCCAATCCTTCTCCTTGGCAGCTGTACAACATGTTTCCCCGGGTCTTCGAACGCCTGCCAGGCCCTCATCACCTGGCGCTCGGGGGGGTCCGGAGGCTCAGAGAGCTCATCAGAGAGGAGGCCCTCCGTCGCCTCGGCGACCTGAACGCAGACGAGCCCCGAGACTACATCGAAGCCTTTCTGGTCAAGATGCAGGAGGTACAGTATTCCACACTGAAGCTCCAGAGTGGTGCAGCAAACAAATGAACTGTGAACTGAGGGGGGGTGCAGGAGGTGAAATGTGAAAAGAATGCCATTGGGAATGATTGTCATTCAAAACAACTGGAGAGAATGGCTTGGGACCTGTCATTCCTCCCAAACCAGTCAGGGATTCAGCCTTGACACTGGGGTAGATATCTCCATTTTGTGTTGAGAAAGTGTTTTGATTGTCCAGTTTGCTGGTAGGCACGTTTTCTAACCCTGATGGCTCAGGGTGATCCCACACCACAGAGCCACCCAGTATCATTGTGTGGTGCAGCTGGTGCTTACACGTCTGTTACAGGGAGGTGTAGTCATGGGGCATTCCCTGCTGGTGCTTGGGAATTCCTTTGGGAATGACCTGCTTCCTGTTCTCTGCAAGGAATCTGCTCCTCAGTTCTGCTCGGTGTGATCGTGTCGGATCTGATAGGGTGCTGCCTGAGTACCGGCAGAGTGCTTGTTATTTCTGTGCGGTGTGTCAGTGTTGTAGTCGTCTGCGGAAGTTTCTGTTCTCCGGTATAGAAGAGAATCCTTTCTGAACAAGGAGAATAGATCGTCCTTTAGATCAGCGCAAGTTTTATGTAGCCGGCTTGGGAACACATTCGATTCTAAGCTGAACACTGTCTGCGGGCACGTGGGGATCTTAAAGCACAGCCCTGATTAGCCTCCGGTGTGGTAGCTGCGCATTCCCACACGCCGTGGAGTAGGAGGGGTGTTCCACTGTCACATCTGTCTCAGAGAAGGGTTTGCTCTGCTGGTCTATGTGTGCCAGTGAATGCTGGATGCTGGGATTTGAGGACTGAATCTTGACAAAACTCCCTCTGTATGAACAATACAGGTCTGAGGAAGAGCTGCCACGCTATTGGATAGCTTCCATTCTAATTTTCCCCATGAGGTCTGTGAAGAGGAGGCTGGGGGGTGGGTCATACAGATGACGTTAGGTTACTTGATCTTGCAAGCTGTTTTCTCAATTTGTGTAACTTTGTTGAAAGCAATTAAATCTCATCAGTACAACATTAGTTCAAAACCAGAACATCACCACATGACCTGTTAAAGTGTAGGTCTTAAAGTGTAGTAGGGCTACACTGTTGAAGGTTTGGGCTGTAGTTACCAGTGCCATCTATTGATCGCTGCTGTAATGGTCTGTGCACTGAAAGGGCTGCGCTGAAAGGGGTTTATAACTCTGTCACTGGTGATGTGGATCCCTCTGAAATGTTATGTAGCCTTGATGATATTCTTCTCTGGAGCAGTATCAGTTGTTTGTGGTTGTGCAGAGACTGGGATACGCTTTAACTGTGTTTGTGTTTTTGTGGAAGTACAGCTGCGTTACATTCCCCTTGTGGAAGCACGATGACATTGCTGCCAGAGGCCTTTTTCTCCCTTTTGAAATATATTTCATGATCATCCCCCTCTTCCTTTGTTTTTTTCTTTGTGAGCTCGTGTGCATTATTTTACTCCGTTAAGAATCTAATTATTTAACAGGAGAAGCACAATCCGAACTCTACATTTAACTATGACAACTTGACGAGCAGCGTGTGGAATCTGTTCTCTGCTGGGACTGAGACCACCTCCTCCACACTGAGACACACCCTTCTCCTCATGCAGAAGTATCCCAATGTTCAAGGTACCCTGCTCTGCTGATTGAGAATATTTTGTCAGAAAATTGGTGAATATTGCTAAAATCCTGAATTTCATATCCATCTACTTTGGAATGTTGTTCAACTGAGCTGTGTCAATGTGCCATCTCACAGCAGGGAGTGAATTTTCTTCTAACTGCAATAGATGTATCATATTTACCTTTTTGCAATTGAGCTTGACTGCTGTCATTGCTGATTTAAAATTAGCTCAAACGCAAAGGGACAGAGGGAACTTTGGAGTCATGCATTAATTTATTTAAATTTAAAACTTCAGCAACTTGGATGGGCACTTTATTCTGTACTCCCACAACTCTTTGTTTAAAAGGGCTTTAAAGTGTTCTATTAAAATGTATTTCAAGATCTTTTGAAAAGGACTACTGAATGCTTGAAATATCTTTGCCTGTTTCGTTACAATAAATAATACTAAAGCTGTATTCCAAATATTGCAGGCTTGAACCCCAGTCTCTCGAACATCCTATCTAATGTTTCTGTATCATTTCCTGAAGCGCGGATTCAGAAGGAGATCGATGAGGTGATTGGCCCCCTGCGTAGCCCCACGGCCCAGGACAGACAGAACATGCCTTACACTGACGCCGTTGTCCACGAAATCCAGCGCTCCTTGGATCTCTCGCCTACCTCTGTCCCCCACAAAGTGCTAAAAGACACTGAGTTCAAAGGCTATACCATTCCCCAGGTGACCTTCGCGAAATGTGCCTGTTAACTCCGGCCCTCTACTGGAACTCTGAAGCAGGATTTCTGAATTCTGATTTCGGGAGTTGCTATTCCTAGATATGTAAAAAATGCTGTGCTGACTGTGGTGCGCTAAGGAAACAAGTTTTTAACAGATTTTTCCCCAGGGTGCTGCACAATATTTGGATTAATACTGCTCCTGAGTTTAGGAGATTTGTCACCACTCTCCAGTTTATTCTCAGGGTTTCTGAGTTTCAAACATGCAATTGTAATAGACAGGGCACTTCAGGTATTTTCCAGAACACTTACAGTACAGAGGACAGCTAACCTCTGGTGGTTGTTAGTTTAAGGTGCAGAGTCTCCTAAATTAGTTTATTTTTCCTGCTGTGGTGTTGTGTTTATTGAATGTGTGCTTGTCCAGGGCATGATGTCAGTGTATTAACTGAATGTGTGTTTGTTCAGGGCACAATGGTCATTCCTCTTCTGTCTTCGGTGTTGTCTGACCCCGAACTGTGGAAACACCCAGATACCTTTGACCCTGAGAACTTCCTGGACGAGAAGGGAAGCTTTAAAAAGAATGATGCCTTCCTTGCATTTGGACTCGGTAGGTTTTTACAATTTCACTTCACAGAGCCATGACTAAGGACAGATCTTCCTATGTGCTCCTATGAACACCCTAAATTAAGTGGTTGCAGAATTAGTCTGCCACATGGCTGGGTGTGACTGTGTAGACAGCACTCGCACAGGTGAAGGTGTTTAATTCCATGACATGATTAAGCACAAGGACTAAAGTAACATCAGAAGTGTAGTACATCTGTTTCTCAGAGAACCTGCTCAAAACCATTGCTCTAGGATGATCCAACACTGACCTGTTAAATGTATTTAAAAAGAGGTCATGACCCCCTGTGATCATTGAAGGTCCCAGGGCACTGTTGGACAGCAGGGGGGAGTGTAGTGAACTATTGGTGCATAATTACATATTATAGGTGCACCTTAGCGGTGAATGGATTGAGAGCACTGTGGTCCTTTAACTGCTTTTGGGCTTCCACAGTGTTGGAAAGAATATTCTTTCAAGATGGAGCTCAAGAGCGCCTCCCAGATCTACCTGGATAGGAAAAGGGGAAAAAGAGGGAAAGGCATCCAGCAGGAAGCCAAATCCTTTTCAGATTTTAAAAGGAAAGCAGGTAGCTGGAGGAGCAGTCACTAAAGCGTTGTTGTCCAAGACAGCTGGACAACACAGTAAGGTCCTTCAGGATTATGTAGGAGGTTCTATATTTCAGGCGTGACAGCAGAAGCTGCGGTTGAGTTTTGACCCTGTTTTGTGTCTCTCTCGGACTCAGGGAAGCGCGTCTGTCTCGGGGAGGGACTGGCTCGAATGGAGCTCTTCCTGTTCTTCACATCCCTTCTCCAGAAGTTCACCTTCACCGGCACAGAGCCCCCAGAGCAGATCGAAACCAACCCCCAGTACTGCAGCTTCGGGAGGATGCCACGCACCTACCAGTGCTACGCCAGGCTCAGGGCTTAGTGGAGCTCAGGGTGCGTGGCACACTCACGCCGTGGGCTGCTGACACACCCTCTCTCCCAGCACACACATTCCCAGAATTCCCTGAACGAGCCTGGGTTTGAGCCCTTTCCGAGTCAAGAACATTTACTGCAGGAGACTCTCAGTAATATCACAGAAAAACAAGTGTCACCCACACTATCATGTTATAAAAACTAACCTTTCTTCTTATGAAACTGTCCCCCAATAAATACAAGTTACTATTGTTTAGTGTACGTGGTGACATTAATCACACAAATAAGTGGAAATAATACTGAGAGCAAAACAAGAATTAATTATGTACTTAAAGTGAACAGTAGTAATACCAATAAATACTACACAAATATGAATAAAAACAAGTTGTTTTTTGATTTTACAAAAAAGTAAATATATAATGGTAACAGTGCAACCCATAACAAATAATACATAAATTAACATGTGTAAAAACATCAGAAACCAAAGTACACAGTAGATAATTCAAGATCTGGCTGAGTATTGTAAGCTTTGTTTTCAGGAATGAAGGAATTTGCTTGGTTGGAACTAAAGGTTCATTACAATGGGATGCTCACCCATGAGCAGTATCCACAGTTCTCCCAAATTCATGTCCCGGAGATCCTGCGATTCCAAGTTAATGCATGGAGTGCAGGGAGCAAGCCCCCGTTCCAAACATCAGTTTATGTCTCTGTAGAAGGCCGGACATGTGTAAAGGTGACAAGAACGGGACACCCACTTCAGCTGAGCCAAAGGGCAAGACGTGGCGGTGCACATGTCTGTAAAGGACCTGTACGTGCCTGCTCCCGCCACACGCTCACGCCTGCCGGAACGCTGCTCGTTCAGGTTTTCGGCTGTGCGTTTTCTTCGCTGCTCTCCTTGTGGGGTTTTATCATCGTGGGAAGTATGAAGCTGTTCAGCAGGAGATCCCCATCCTGGTCCTGGGGGCCAACTTTCCTTCTAATTTTCATTCCATCCTGGCTTAATGACCTGCTTTAATTGAAGGTTTAATTGAACTAACAAATTGCTCGACTGAAAAATCTGTTTTTTTCTACTTAAATTCTTCAGCTGGGATTTTATTTGACTTTATTTGACTTATGAAATGCACTAGATACCCTCCTACATGTCGAGGAACTAAACACAAAGATTTCAAATGAAGTCTATTTAGTCAATTAAAGAATCAATCAGTTGTGTAACTGGGAGCTCGACTAGAACAAAAACCAACAGGTGTGTGAGCCTTCAAGACCAGCCCTGGGGACCTCTGCTTTTGTAAGTTCTCATTTCAGCTATATTTGCATAAACAAAATGAGAGTAAAGAAAAGAAAGGACGAGCTTTCTTTCCCCCTTCTGTCCACTTGTGTAGGGTTTCAAGCTATCAGCACATCGATGATGTTACAAAGTACAAACTGCATTAGAATCTAACAATCTGTACCAGCAATCCAAATGTCAGTCTGTTGTGTATTCCAGAGTGGAAAAGCACTGCGATGAGTCTGTCACAACTACCAAAGCAAAGTAGGCTTCATAAACTTCCTGAGGCTAACAAAAAGAAATGCATGTTGCAATCTTAAAATTAAATTCCTGGCGTTATGTCATTGGTTAAGGAAAATTTTAATAAAAGAGCTCAAAATTATTTTTTAAATTATAATCTCTCGAGTCTGCTGCATCCTTATAAGATGATGATGACGATGATGAAAACCATAGCATTCTGTCATCTGACATCCTGAGATATTTAGGATTTTGCAAATGCGTTTGTTGTTCTCCTCTGAGATGTTTTTTTGCGATATATCACCAGTCCTTTTATTGTACCTCTGAGCTCCAGACAAACACAATTTCAGTCTCTGTATAACATTTAGATTTTTTATGTTTTATGTTAGAGTCAGTTTTATGCCTGTATGTTTATCATGAATCCAAATGATAGATGTTGGACTAAAGGCAGACAATGAATAAGATTTAGGCCTTTTTTTAAGTCTATCATGAAAAAAGCTTAGGATGTAAACTAGCAAGTCTTCAATTGAACAAGAAGTTCAATGTGCAATTTATAATCTCACACAAACAAGCTGAACATATTTAGGTATTGCACATACTGTAGTGCAGCATTCTCCAGCGTATGCAGAGACCCCCTATTTAGGCATAGTTTAGTTCTCTACTAGAGTTCTTAATGATAGCTTTTATATACAAAACAAAACAACTAGTGAACTACACTGATAATTGTATACAAATATAATTGATGCCTATAACGGATCTGCTTGCTGGTTTAGACTTTTTTTCAAACTCACCTTGGTTTCAGGAATACTCTTGTTAAGTACATGGCTTCCAACAACATCAGCAAAAATAATGCGCCCTCTCCTCAGCTTACTAATTGAGAATTTCCTACCTAATTTCTGTCTAAAAATGCTTTTAATAGGTGACAAGTACAGACACGTGTGGGAATAATCATGTATCAAACACACTTTGAGCAATTTCCCTTGTGCTCAAGTCCAACACACCTCACATAGCGCAGCCCTCCAGAGTGCTGATTAGTACAGGGCTGATACTGTACCATTTGCAAGTAGCGTTCAACTTTTTAAGATTTAAAAGCTACTTTCAAAATGTAAGATGGAAATAAATTAGTGTGAGGTAAGGAACTCAGCTGGTGCAAACTCATATCAATTTAATCAATATCATATCGATTTCTATACAAAACCATCCTGTCAATTTATTAAAGGCTCAAACCGGGCACTTTTACTTTGGCAATAAGATTTATTTAATGAAGCAAAGAAAATATTTAACAGTTCTGCATTCGAAACACAAACGAATGCCAAAATATAAAAAGATAAAATCACAAAAGCATAACATTTCAAATTTCAATAAAATACTTAAAATTTCAATTTGGTTTTACGACATAAAGCTCACAGCGTTCGCTTTACTTTGGCCTTTAGCTGGCCTTATGGCTTTTTAGCGCCGCTAGGGGGCGCTCCTTTGCCGCAGTTACTGTCAGAAGACGAGGATTGCGGTGCGTTCCAGCCTGACCTGATGCTTTTCTGATCCTTGTCTGCAATCATCACAGTAAATGTAATTTTTTGTAACAAAATGTAACATTTTTCTGTTGTGCTTCAAGTAGGATCTGAAAAGCAAGCAAACGTGGCCAAACAAAGTTCCAGTGCTTCACAGTCTCCAGGACGGCAGAGTCTGCGTCCCCACATGATCCTGAGACAATGAAATAACACGAGGGGTCATCCCGACTGCCTGGGTTGGAAAAGGCAAGGCTTGTCACGTGACTGATCCACGTGCCGCGGTTTTGGTGTGGAGTGTTCAGTGATGCTCTGGAGGCGGATAAAGTGATATAGCCCTGGGGAAGGAGGAACATTGACGATCTTCCAATCCCAACTGAAGGACCAGCAATACGACTGGAGAAGCATGAGGAATATTATTCTCTTCCGCCAAACCTTTCTTGAAAGAGTGGAACCTCCTTCAGGGGTTCAAATTGGGTCCTGTCTCCAATTTTCCTTAAACTCAGATGTACGTGTTTTTAGATGGAATACAGTACAGTACTTACAGACTTTTTTCGTATTCTGGAGTAAAGTCAAAGGATCGCTTCTAGTGCTTTCAGTGGAGTTGCGTGATGTTTTACAGCCGAGTGGGAACTTGCAGTGTGTAAAGGTTGGTGCCACGTTCATACAGTAATCCACCTCTGAAGCAACAGTTGGACTTGTACAAGAGAAAAGACATGGGCTTCTGATGTACACACTGCGCTGACTGGGGAGTTAATCCATGGACAGTTTTATAAGAGAACATTTGATTGAAACCACAACAATGCCTATAATTCCCCTTCACTCGAAATCCAAATACCTGTAAAGGAGGTGAACCTCCTCAACTATTTCAGATTTTAGTAGTTCTGGAGACATAAATTTGATTTCATATCTATTTCTTGCCCATGCAACTAAATCCTTTCCCAAGGATACGTTAAATAATCTCTTCTGTGCTTCATTTAGTAATATCTCCTCCGTAGAGCTTGGCAATGGCATGAACAGCGATCCCTTCAGTGAATTTCTCAGAGACCGTGAGCTGACAGAATGCATTGTTCCAGGGGATACAACGTGGACTGTTCGGCAGTAGTGATAGGTGCCGTCACCAAGAGCCCCAGGGCTGGAGAATTTGCAGGCACGGTTGGGTTCAGCACCTCTGTAGCCCTTGAGGCATTACAATCTGAGGCTCCAAGTAAAAAGTAGTTTCAATCCAGAGAATCAAAGACCAATGGAGCAGAGACTTAATGTCGCAGATCTTTATTTTGTTTTTCTTTTGAACATTGTTTTTAAGGTGTAGAAATGGAAGTTGGGATTCCACCCGCCGAATCTCCTGTTGTCATGAACTCTTTCCTGACAGCTTTGCTTTGCTACAGTACCTTCAGCCTCCCACATCACTGCACTTGGCCACACAGCAGCTCAGGGGTTCGAGCCGAAGGGGCTGTGATGCAGCGCTGGGCGTGGCCAGCCCCACATGCACCTTCTGCCAAGGGTGTCTTGCGTTCTCTGAACTCTCAGGCACTGTGCCCATATGCCCTTTCTTGTGTCTTTCCATGGCCGTTTAATAATTGCAGTTCGTTTTAGCTCTGTGTCCCAGATCTGATTAAGGCGGCTAATATCTTGTTCTACAAAGTTTGAGAGCATTGGACAAAACCCTGTCCGCACTGTTGCAGCATCCCTTCATCAGGGGGCCTTCTTCAGGAGCAGTTCCCTGCTGCACTCGGCGTTTGCTGAAGTAAGTTGATCTCCTTGGATTTACACTCTCCCATGTCTTGGCAGTTGCAAGCAATACCTTAAGCTCTTCCGTTGTGGAGCATCCACGCTTAGCAAAGTGGAACCCATTTGTCTTGTAAAGAACATAGTGCAAGAGGTAGAAAAAAGGTTCTGAGGTGTCCTAATCCAAAACTGGGATAAAACAAGCTCCTCAGCCCTGATCAACGTCTCCGTAGAGTCCTTCCCCCACACTCTCTGGACTCCTGGTTCTCAGGGGCTGTGTGATACATTGCCTATGAACTGGGTTTCTGCATGATCAGACTCAACTGAAATGCACAGTCCTACTGCAAGTGAGACGAAGATCAAGCCCATCTTATCTAGACTCCACTTCCTTTCAGCAGTAGCTCTCTGTGTACATAGCCAGAACGCCTTCCCCGCCATTGTCCTGTGGGCTACAGTTCAGGTTGCTGGGCGCCTGCTTGTGGGCAGAAAAGTAGCAGTAAGACTTGCCCATCTTGGCACTGGGGTGGAGATGCTGGTTGCAGGAGGAGCTGTCTGAAGAGCAGGTGCAGCCGGCGTTGCAGTGTGCTGCCCCCTGGCCTGGCGGCTTGAGGTGGCAGTGGCACCTGCCTGTGCTGTTGCCGGCGCCCCCCTGTGGCACATTGCTGCAGGTGAGGCGGTACTCCTCCAGCAGGCTCATTCCCAGCTTCCATCGCTGCCACTTCTTCTTGATTTCCGACTGCACCTGAGGGCAGGCACGGGGCAGGAGGGGGCAAAGGAATGGGCAGAGCTGTAGCATTAGATGTCAGATTAGCTGTAGACAGATCTTTCTGAAGCTGAAAATATGTGTTGTGTGACAGCGCATTACAGGGAAGACACTAATTGCCTCCCGCTGAAAAAGCAGTTCAAGTTATATAAACTATAGGCTGTCAAATAACGCCAGACACTAGGTGCTGGATATTTAATATCGATTTCCTGATTTTTAATACATTTGCATTTAAATATGTGGTTTCAGTTGAAATATTTAAATATGAGACTACTTTTTGTTAATCAGTACTGAGTTTGCTCAGTTTTAGTTTCTGCACAATGCTCTCCCATTGCACGTTAATACCCACAGCCACATTTTAAAATATTACTTGTGTATCTTCTATTAAAAATGATACAATGCACCCACAATTCTGCACACTTTCCTTCTAGTTTTAGCTTAATCACAGTTCCACTTTAATGGAAATGAATAATAATTCCAACTTTGTTTGCAGGGTTAGCACAACACAGGAACTTCAGTTAAACTGCCACTGGTTTTACGAAAAAAAAAAAAACAGACACTCGCTATGTGGTTATAAAAGCAATAAAAATCATACATCATCAGGAAACTAATTATTTTGCTTTATGCTTTCTCTCAGAGGAGTTATGTGTTCAATTATGGATTTTCACAATTCATAGCACAACAACATCCATATTTAATGTAAATAGAAGTAGCAGTGCTTAATGTAAGGAAAACTGGAATACAAATGTGGCTGATGATAGGTCAATCAGGTGGGAAGATAACTTGTGCATCTTGATTTTAATAAAAAACAGAAGAAATGAAACCAGAAAATCTTTATTTGAAATCCTTTTTTGTGATTTTTTTGTCTGCCTACCTCCTTGTTCACAAAGCAGTACAAGACAGCAACAAGCAGACCCTGTCAAACAAGAAAAGGAAAAACCAGTGAAGACTCCAGCAGCTATGCATTAGGTGCAAGGTTCAGTTACAGTTATGGAAACGAAGGAGGAAAGAGAACTGAGGCGAATGGCCCATCGGAAAGGGACATACTGTACACATTGTAAGATTTGTTCTATTGTATTTGTAAATCTACAGTTACTGCTCCATGCACATTTGCTGGAAAAGGAATCTGCAATGGGATTCTCACTTGTGTAATCTTTCTACAAAGATATTTTGTAGATATTTTGTTTTTTTATAAAGGCTAACTGGTATCTACTGTTGGCATACTACCAAACAGAAACAGAACAGAAATATAAAAAGCAGTCATGGGCGTCTATTCAACAGACCAGAACAGGTATCTATTTACGCACAAGTGTACTATCAGAACAGGGGTTCTCCTTGCAGGGAGGAAGAGGCAATATTTCCTGGAAAGAGCAATTTTATACATTTCAGGTTTTACTGACATGTTTCTGGGCATTGAGCACAAATGGCACTGAAAAGCAACAAAGTGAGTGTTCTTTAACTTTGCATGGATGTGTGTGGAAATTTGCTCAAATGTTAGCAACATCCAGCACATTGCATTGTCATTTACAAAGGCTGTGTAGCCTGTAAAACATGACTCTGATTGGTCTGCTGTGCAATGGAGGCCTTTATGTACAGGTATGTCCGCTTTGTAGTCCTGTTTGAAGAGCCAGCCTGTGTTGGAGGCAGATGTGCTAAGTCTATAGCGAAGGCTCTGGACAGGGCAGTGAGCAGCAATGAGACCAGTCACCTGGAACGAATTGAAGAAGAGCTCGAAGAAGAGCTTCACGTTGCGCAGTGTGCCCGCGGCCTGCTCCTCCGTGATGAAGGCGAACACCACCTCGTGAATGCCCAGGAGAGGTATGAGAGTCAGGGTGGACTTGGCCAGCCTGCCCACAAAACCAGAGCAAGAACAGCTGTCAGTTCAGACATCCCCTGATCACAATGTGCAGGTACAGCATATTTGCATCTTTTACCCCTGCGTTTACCAAACCAGTGTCATGCATTTGCTTTGAACTGCTGTGGTTTCCTACAGGATTGGCTTCGTTGTTTATCCCATTTCTCCATGCTGAATTTTTCAGGGTTTACCAAGCTAACATTTTATAAGAAATTCTTGAAATCTCACAAGACAACAGCTGCCCTCTCTTTCTAGAACACAGACTCTAAATTCCAACCAGCAACAGCCATGAGGATGAAAGTCTGGCTTTGGGATGCAATTAGTAGTTCATTGCCAGCCTGGAAGAAAGCAACATTTCTCCACCAGGTCTCCAGTTCTGATGGGGAGCAGACATTTTTCTTTGACACTGTACTTTGAGTCTCCTGAGGACTTGTGTCTCAGACTGGGACTGTTAACCATACCCTGGGGATCAGCTCATAGACATTTCCCTGGCATTATTTTCATCACACTCAGCAGCGACAACTGCATGATGCACGTCTGATACATTATACCTTCTCCTGAGGGGGGCGGTCAAAGAAATTCATTTAGAACAAAGAATTCTATTGAAACAAAGAAGCACATAGCATAAATCTCCATTTGTTTCTGAAACAAATTCTCCTTACTCTCCCTTGATCTCCCCTTCTCAGATGTACTGACTTGTTTTAGGCATGCAGCTCCTGACGGGCTCTTAAATTGAACAGTGTGTTTTCTGTGCTCGCTGAACACCAGAACTTTGTGGTAAAAATGAGCTCGAATAGAGCGCTGTTAGCCCTTTACTGATGTGAGAAACAAGCACTGACTTGGCAGAGCAAAACTCTAAGTCCTCTTCAGCTCTTCAGGGACTTTGCAGGGGGTTATAGCAGTTGAGCTGGGAGGACAGTCAGAAGGAAGAGGAATGTACTGCGAAACTCTGATGATACTGAATCACTGCCACTTTTGTCAGGCTAAAACAAAAGGTGAGGGTATATGTGATGCTGTTGCTCAGACTCTTTTCTCAGTGGCAGTATAAGGTGCTCTGAAGAAGAAAAAGGCTCCTGCACACAATAAAATGCAAAGTCACATTTTATTATGAAAGGAATAAAAAGCTTGTCTTAGGCAATGACCATCACCTTTTTACTAACATACAAGTTATTAATTAGTTGCTGACTAGTTTGTGTGAATTAACAGCAGTACATTCAACTTAATCAATTAGAAAACTAACCTCTTTTGACTCAATTTCCTAGGCAACAGTACTGTATTTTGTATGGGTGATCTGTGAACATTTTTTCTCTACATTTTTCTTCTACTTCAAATGCACAGGATTCCTGCAGGCTTTGTGCAGCTACAGAACTCACTTCTCTGTTAATAACTGGAACCAGTGTACAAATTATTGATCAATACACACAGAAATAAAGACCAAAAGACTCAGCAGCCCTTGAACACAAAACAACAGATCTCATTCTCATCTTTCTTCTCATTGACGTTGTTAACCTAAATGAAAAAACCATAAACAGATAAACATCATATGATTCATTTTTATGATATGCTCTAGGGGGCTTGAGTTAAAAGATACATACTGTATAAGCCAAATAAAACAGTATTCACAAATTTACAAGTGATCATAAATAAAACAACAGTCATACACAAAGAATAGCTTATATTTGAAAAGTATTCTTTCTTCAAAGAGTTTCCTGAGCTCCTGGCTTGGCAACCCTGCCAAATACTTGTTTGAACAGCAGATCTGTTGTGTTTACTGGCAACTACAACAGTCTTGATTCTTCTACAAAGTTGATGGAACACATTCTAAAAGGCTGAGTTGATTTTTTCATTGATCTTTGTATCTATGTGTTTAGGTTGACAGTGAACTTTACAGAGGGCATGAGATCATTGTCGGACATCAGCTTTTGTAGAACAGGACGTGCACTGCTTTGGTTAGATGTCCGTCCATGTGAATTTTGAAGTGACAAAAATTCAAGCAGACTACCCTTACCTGAATTTGTAATCTGTATACCTCATCTGATGTGCCGTCAGTTTGGAGACAAGGATTTTTATGATACGAATGAAAATGAAAAAGTTGATCTGGAATAAAGGAACACCAATGATGAGTTCACGAATGCACACAGATACTAGGAGAATTCTTTGATGCAGTAATAAACTGAAGCAAGGAAATAAGTCAATATCATAATGTATTGTCAATAAGCTTGGTAATCAATAAACTAACAGGGTGTAAGGACAGTTACCTGGCAACAGTTCTAACAGTCACAAGAGAATTATTGAATTTCTAATGGTGTATGATAATTTGTATACATTTAGAATTACAGTGGTTGAATAAATGTGAGATAGCAATAGTAAGAAATCAATAAATACTGAAAGGCATAGTACAAAACACAGTCATGTATTTGCAATCAAAGTAATAATACTGAACAAAATGGATTTGAGCAATTAACTCTGAGCTAGCTCAACTTTTCAGAGGACCTTCAAATAATACGTGTTGCTGCTCACAGTTACCTCACATTAACCATGCACACATTTTTTCTTGACATTCCTCAGCACTGCCATGTGACACAAACCGCCTAACACGAGCGCATTCACATCTGGAAGCAACAAACTGGAAATCCACTGTTTCACAATAAAAACTCAGTCAGCTTGATACAGTTTCACACGATTATAATGAAGGCCTGGGTTAGATCAAGACATCTAACCAGCTGGCAGGCGCAAATTCCAACCCAGCACTGAGGTCCAGCTTCCAGCTGAGCAGCCACTACAAGTCCCTGGTGCAGAGGCAGCTGTCATGAAGAGACATGTTCAGCATCTGCAGCTGGTAGGCAAGCAGCAGCCTCGGTTTAATCTGGGTCTTTTTACTGTGAGAAAGCTTTCCCCTTGAAATAGTTTTGTAGCATAAAAACACGAAGATTGATTGATCTCCAGGTTTAAAAGCTTAACAGCTGGTGCCTTTTTTTAAACTCGCTTGTCCACCAAAATAGGCAAATAAACGTGTTTAAGAAAATATCTTCTTCCTGCAGTTCAGGTCTTCAGTTAAAATAAAAAGTATTCTTTGTCTTGCAAACCCCCGAATGTAAAAGTGACACCCACTTTAAAACTGCGCCTGGCTAGCTGGCAGTGAACGGAGAATCGCAGTGGAGTAATTCATTCTCATTGGAGTGACCACTAACCGCGGGGATCAGAATTACACAGAGACTAGAAATCAGGAGGGGAATGCAGTTAGGGAGCAGAAAAGCACGGTAAATTGTAGGATTTGATTAAAAAGTCATATCATGAATAAAAAAACAGTACTTCCAGCACTTTTTAAAACAAAACTGAGTTTTAAAAACACTAAAGAAGACCTTCTTGTACAAGACTTACCAAAATAGAGAACAGTATCGGGGAGCGAATAATCCACCAGTAGGCCATGTTTTCATTCATCTCCCAGCATCTTGAAGACCAAAGTAGAATTAATCTCTACTTCATTTCTTGTCAACTGCTTTCAATATTAGGAACTAAGAAGGAGCATAAGGTCAGAGGAGCCTACATAATGAACTTTGTATGATAATAAGGTTTCTGGACTGTATTTATATATGCATACATGTCTCTTCCTGTAACATACTGTATAGCGTGCTACTTACTTTTTGTTTTCATACAGATATCGGACAACAGTCCAGGGCACCACAAACAGCACTGGGGTTCCTGCGCAGAGAGACACCAGTGATCACGAGGTGACCGTGTAACAGTGGGCAGGGGCACTGGGCATGTTACAGAGGTGACATCACCCCCTTAAAGCCTAGACAGATTCTCCCACGTGAGAGGGCCTGGTCTTCTGCCACAGCAGGATGTCCAGGAAGTGGTGCTGTGTGTGTGCTTTCAGCCTGTAAGCAGCTGTGACAGAGCAGGGCTGTACCCAGAGCACACCAGTCACACCAGCACAACAAGCTGAGGACCAGAGCTACAGCAGTAAGGGAGACACGGGGTTCAAATATTGATAGCTTACTAACTTTAAGTAGTAGGTCTTTCTTCATTCCTTGGACCACGATTTCATACCTGCGATCATGTTTTAGAATTTAATTGCTCTTTGTGCCTAATGTACCTCCAAAATCCACAGAACCTGTGAGCCAGAGGTGCCCACTGTATATCCCGTACGTCCTACCCCCTCAGTCCCATCAGGCATCAGTCCCGTCACCCAGACAGGCATACTGACCCCAGCCGATGACCAGGTATCCGCAGAAGTAGCTGTTCTCGGAGAAGACCATGAGCACCAGCAGGTTGTGCAAATAGAGCCCTTCCACTAACAGCCAGCAATAATTAGCCCCCACACAGTACTGCATGAGGACCTGGGCCACCCGACAGCCAGAGAGAGCCTGCAGGCGGGAGAGACAGACTATCAGTCTGAGGATGTTTCACTTTACAGGATTTTCCCAGTCCAGTCCAGCTTCAGTCCTCTGCCATTCACCATGGAATAGAGGACAAATGGCAGATTGTTTTTTCGAGCCCTGCTGTCTCTCGATTTCTGGGACTCGTTTGGTCAAAATCAGGTGCGCAAGGCTGTCTCAGTAGAAGCCCCTGCAGAGGCATTCCCAGAGGATTACATCAGCAGAACAAGGACATGCAACTGGAAACATTCCAGCAGGAAGGATATTCAGACGTTGCCTGCTGGAAACCTGGTTTCCTAGCAGGTTGTTCCAGGAACATGCAGTATCACTCATTGTGGATTCGGACTGCTCTACTGCCCCTGCAGGCTCCCAGACAAACTGCACCTCGCACCTGGGGCCTTCAAGTTAAAACGTTGCTGTGCCTCTCGAAGTCTGCCCCATTCTGACTTGTTACAGGAGGATGTGATTTTGTGCACCTCTGCTATGCTAAGGAGAGTGTGTGTTTGTGCACGTGTGTGTGTGTGTGGTTTACCTGGTCGCTCAGCACGAAATCGCGATTGTCCCCGAATTCCCTGGCCTCCCTCATGAGCAGGGCGTCCCGCGTCAGGATGGAGACGGCCCGAAGGATGAAGGAAGCGAAGAGGTTGGTGTGGATGTAGTTCCGAGTGCATCGCAGCTTCCTGAAACACATGCCACAGGGTCTTCCGCAAGGGGGCAAAATGGGATCGAGGCCACGTAATTTGTAAGACCTGGCTAATTTGACAGTTTAAGAACTAAATAAAATCTTCTCTTTTCGTCACAGAATAAACCTTTTACTTGTTCTTTTGCAGCCTACGCATGTTTACGCAGCTACTACTACTACTACTACCACCTACTTGACCGTTCGTTCTCTTATGTGCTCCTTGGCCAGAGACATCAGCAGTAAGAGCACAGAACTGAGGGCGGTAGCTCAACAGCTCCCTCTCCAGGCTCGAGTGTAGGAGAGCAGTCGGAGGGCAGAGAGCTCACCTGAAGATGAGCAGGATGGTAAACGCGAGAGTCAGGCCAGCGAGGGAGAGCGAGTAGCCCACAGTGTACATCACTTTGAAGTAGGCCAAGATCATCATCTGCTTCTCCTGTGGGGCAGAGCACACAGCACAGGTCAGTGCCTACCCCCATGTTCTCGTTGCTGATTGGTTTTTGCCCTTTTTGTCTTCCTATGATCCGGTGGTTCTGGTCTCAAATACATTGCAATGTTCATTTTGCTCGCCTGCTTCACACGAGGTTGGAAGAAATATTTCCAGGGCTCTGGCGGTTTTTGTTTAGGTTTGTGAGAACTGCTCTGTCCTCACATGATTTATCACCACTGTCTTAAAAGGCCGTTTCTGCTTTTCACAGCACAGTTGCTGGGCCAAAAAGGAAGAAAGGAGAAAAGTACAGAAAGAGAAACCTCTTGGTCTGGGTAACAAGTCTGGATTTTCGTAGTACATTCAGTGTTTAAATGTAAGGCCACTGCAGTATGAAACTTAATTCATAAATCCATTGGAATCCATAAAACAAAGTAAAAAGAAATAGAGGCATTATACAGTTTCAGACAGTGTGTGTGTGCGTGTGTGTGCGTGTGTGTGTGTGAACTTCTCTAAGGTTAACTTACGATTATTTGAATAGTACCTTGCTGGAATGAATGGGCAATAAGAGAAGCACAGGTGTGAGTGACAGATAGACGTTAATGAAGGAGCTGAACTGAACTGTGCGCGCCTGGCGTTCAGGAAGACCAGTACATGTTTTTCAGGCTGCAGGGTCCTGAATCCTGGGACGTGCAGCAGGGTGACCAGCCCTGCTCCTGAAAAGTTCCTGCCCATCTAGTTTTAAGGTCATCATTAAATCATCAGTTTGTGAAGACCTGGAACATTTTAACTGCAATTGGTTAAACGGACACTTTTTTAATTGAGTCATTCGGAGATTATTTCAGACAGAAACCAGTAGGACCTTAACCACTCCATAGCTCCCTTCATTGGATGAACTCGCTTAGCCGATGACTTGCTTGATTGGTAGAACAAGTGTTCCTAACCCAAACACCGTGACACATGGTGACCAGTAAGTCTGACTGGAGTGGGGGACTCCCGGATTAACGTTGGAGACCCCTGGTATAGAGGAGAACAGGGAATGAAGAGGTTGCACTGCTGCCCTCCTCTGAACTGTGGATAGGAAGTGTGTTGTTGTGTTGCTAAGCAGCTGCATGTGCGACTCTGGGCACCGGTGCCATTCTTTGCCATTTTTCACTTGATTGGTTTGGAACGTATTACTTTTGGTCTGGTGCACATTCAATAGAAATTTGATTTTTTTTATCGCCCAAATAAAATGTTAAAGCTACGTGTTGTTTGTCTTTGAGGTGTCCTTTAAATTAAAATCAGTCTGAGAAGTCTGACATTGTCTCACCAGTTGAATTTAGTAATACCTAGCTAGAAAGAACTTTAGAAAGACTAGATTGTGCAAGCCCAGAGCACAATTTAGCCAGGACTGCCCTCACTGGTGTGGTGTTTTTTTAAGGTTCTTCTTGTTTTGCTCTTGCAATTTGGGTGGTTGAAGTGTCGCCTCTTATGCGATCACTTTAGCAAATGATAACTTCGCCTTAGTGAAGATTTCACAAAACCAGCAGACGAAATCAAATGGATTGCTTGTTCAGTTACGGAGTATAATATCGTATTCTTGTAGATACGGGGAGGGAAAACATTCTGGGATTAATTCAATGTCTCCCTGTTTTCGGATCATCCTTTGAGAACTCCCTGCTTACCTGCTGCAGGCTGTCAGCCCAGTCACACTGGGAATGGTCCCTCCAGGTGGCGCTGGTGTTGTTGGTGAGCCACTGCCCATCCGGCCCACACTCACGCAGCACAAAGCCACTCTGGACTGGAGGAGAGCAGAGTGAGCTCAGTCTCCCACCGCCGTCGCACAGTGAACATCTCAGGCACGTTAGTTAGTCTTCTAGTAACACAGCAAATACGCTAACAAAAGGTGGTATTATTACTTTTGGGGGATACCTGTGCTCAGGAATGTGGGATGAAATGATTTCCTTCTTAGTGAAAGCCTGCTATTCCAGGCAGAATACGCTTGTTATACTAGTATTTTAATTGGCAGATGCTTTTATCTGAAGATTACAAGGACAATGTCTATTTCATCTTTTTTACTTGTTAGTTTGGTTCCGATTTGTACACTCCTGTTTGTTGGCACAATCTGTGTGTAGTATCAGCAGAGCTTGTGTCCTCACCTGTGATTTAAGCTCACCAATGTCTGGCTGTGGAGTGGAGCACTAATCACTACTCCACGCTGCCACCCTAAGCACGCAGTCACATGCTTTCGCTTTGTTATTCAACTTTAACGTTACTCTCATCAGGTTTCAGGGCTTAGATACAAAAGCATGGCCCAGAACAGCTCACCTCCACAAATTGAATCTGCCGCTTCTGGCTGACAAACATTTCTGAGGAATTCTTACATCCAAACATATTCCTACTGACACAGATATAATACCTTGTTCATACCACGGGAGGTACCACGGACAGGGCACTTTGACTGTTGTATTTGGCAATCCATCCGTCCAGCAGGCATACATATCAAACATACGCTTACAGACCAGGCCTGTGGATCCAAAAAAAAACAACAGATTTTAAACCTCCAGTTAAAGAAGTAAAAAGCTTATTGAACCTTATCTTCAGCTTCAGTGTCTCCTGTTCTCTGTTTTATACTGTACTCTTACTCTTGGTTTCGACTGGTACCCTCTGCTTCGTGGTTCACTGTTCATTTGAATGTTTTTGCTGGGTTGACTTTATCTTTGTGGATTTTGAGTATTTGTATTGGGTCTCCTCGTAATGATCTCTGCTGAACTTTCAGCTCCTTCAGCCTGTCAGTGTAACACAGTCTTTGAAGCCCAGGAATGTGTCTGGTTGCTCTTCTCTGCACTGATTCCAGAACAGCAGTATCTGTTTTATGATGTAGTGACCAAAACTACACAATTGTAAATCAGATCTCAATGGTTCACTGGGCAATGTTAGCATTTCTCTTGCTTCTTAGCATTGTGTTTCTATAAAAAATATAATATTTACTTTCAGTGCAAGAGCTGGCTCATAGACTTCCCAAGAAGGCAAAGCTTGGAGAATGGTTTAAAATTGGTGGCCAAAAAAAGAGGAAGATCTCACCCACCTGACACACATGAGCAAATTGCTCTTGGCAGGAGGAAATAGTGAAGCATGAATTGTGGGGGCACAGACAGGTTTGACACAAATAGGGTCCAGTTTGCCAGTGGAAGGAAAACCCAAAAGAATCAAGACCCAGTAATTCCAACAGCCCATTTAGTAGTTAGTAGCTAATTACTCCCCAGATCTCATCCAGCCCTTTCTTGAAAGAAACCAAGTTATTGGCTTCTACAGCATGGCGGGAAGCATACTTCTACACTGCTCTGTGAGCTTCCAGAATGAACTCATTTCAAATAGAGACCTGTATGTACATGGGGTACATCAGTATTCCTGCTACACTGCTAGTGTATGCCAGATGTCCTACACATCTCAGGGAAAGATCTTGGAAGCTGTTTCTGGGGAGCACCTTGGGGGCTGGGGTCACTTCTCATCTTGCTGAGACACTCGTTCCTGTACGCGTTCCATTCCTCCACTGTGTCTTTCATGGTCTTCCCTGAAGCGAACTATGAAACACAAAAAACAACAGATGTATTATCAGTACTGTCTGTCATCCGAGGCGGTCAGAAGATGCTCAGTGCAGTGTGTGTCCTGTCTATAGTCAAGGTTTATGTCAGTACCTTGAGCTCAAAGAGGTCGGAGGTTTGATTCTTATCTAATACTTGTTTCCTTTCCAAGAGGATTGAAGCACATCTTTACACAAAGGGATGTGGGAGTATGGAACTGGAGATATTTAAGCAGCTGATGACAGTTTAAAATAAACACATTAACAACAACATAATTAAAAAGAGATACAGGTTAGAAGAGGTTGTTAATCTTTCCTTAATTTCTTATCGTTTCTAATTTTATTCGGAGACGTTCCATGTTGATCAGATAATTCATAACTGCCTTGAGGTTTTGCCGTGCAATGAAAAACTGAAGAGGTCTTCAAGTCAGAAGTTTATATAGATCTCTAGCTAAAGAATGCCCAGCAATGAGTGATCCCATGGGATTCTTCTATACTGACTGAAGCCCCTTTCCAATAAATTTCAACAGCTGTCTGTGTAAGAGGAAAACAATGCTTATATTTTTCACCCCAGACAATCACGAGGTTTTTCATTTCAGAAAAATAAGAACAACCGCCCACATACTGTATAAGCCTTGAAATCACATATACTTTGTTCTTCAGGGTCCTAAGATGCAACTAACATGAATCCTTAAGTGGAATTCAGTTGCCACTGAATTCTGCCGTTTCTTAAAAGAAGCCAGGCTATGGCTTCAACAGCATGGCATGAGCTGCTTTGAAGTGATCGCTCCCTGAAGCTGTTTCTCTGTGGCCCAAAAGTGACCTTGTCCTGTAACACAGGTGGGGAGCTGGCTCAGCAATAAACCAGGGCTGGAGGCACAGCTCCTGTTTGCTGTGAGAGCAGGGAGCACAGTCCTTGTCCACAGTGAAAGGCTCTTCAGCTCACATTGTAGCTGAGCTATGAATTACAGAACTGAGCTATTTGCTTATTTGAATGAGTTTAACGCTCTTCCCAGCTGATGGTAGTTTAAGAGAAATCGGCTGGCCCAGGTCCAGGAAAGAGCTGTGGTACAGCTGTTGGCCTCATTCCCTCGACGGCCTGCAGCACGGAGCACTAAACCAGGAATTACACTGACCGCAGACCTACGTTTGCTGTGTGAAGGCCAAAGCAGCACGTGTCCAAAGTAAAGACGAAGCGGGAGAGAGAGAGGGAAGGGCTGACCTCCGTTCTCCAGAGGACCGAGACGGTGAGGAGGAGGAAGGCGGCCAAGGCGCCACACATCGCTGAGACTCCTGCCAGGGGTCCTCGGGGCTACTGCCTCGCCGGACCGGTCACTGCGGCCACAGCCCTGGCCAGCTGGCCAGTCGGGGCTCCATCTCCAGCTCGCCCAGCTGCAAGAGACCCGAGGGACAGGCGTGAGGCGGGCGATGCCAGTCCCTGCAGACCCTCCCCAGCTCCGGCGATGGGCGTGTGAGGTCTCAGGACGATGCAGGACTCTGCGATTTCAGCTACGTTAAAAACAAGAGACCCTGAGATTTCATCACCCTGCTGCTGCTCATTCTGTAATGTCAGCAGCCGGAAAGTGAACCTCATCTCGGAAAAGCACATGAATCTTAATCTGAAAGACAAAAATCACCGTTACAAGTAAAATCAGATGCAGGGCTTTCCCCTCAGACATTCATCTCGGTTGACTGCTGCTTGATTTAGCCTGATGTGCCGTTCGGTGTGCTGTGGTATTTATGTGAGGCTGAACAAGCTGGATCATGTCTATTCTGTCATAAAAGGAAATCCAAACGAGTGGAGATGACGTTTTGAAAAGGGCGTGTCACGAGTGGAGAATACTCCGGACAGATTTCACAGTGTCAGGTGTCTCGCACTCTGAAGTCACAGGTTCTTACTGGATAAGTATGTTAACTGTTAAGATGACCTTTGTTATGTGCACTCAAGGCAGTACAGTGTGTCAGATTTTTTGGGGGGCGTGAAAAGGACTGTAGTTCAAAGGTCTTCAGAAAGATCAATTTCCACGGCGACCATGGTAACGAAAAAGAAGACTGCACATGTGGGAGCCTGAAGCCACATCTCCTGTAAGAGAGATTCTCCAGTCCCGGTTCTGGAAGCTTTCGGTACAGCTGGGCGTTTAACGAACTGCATCAGCTTGTTATTGGCTTAATTGGACCAATTTAGTAACTCCTCCCAGTTCTCCAGCTGGTGGTGCTTTAAAGAGACCTGCAAAAGCTACAGACTCCCTGTCCCCCCCCACACCCAGCTTGATTTCCACAACAGTATCATAGGACCTCACTAAACTACAGGGCTGCAAATCCCACTTTTTATTATCCTGCATGGTATCTTATGTATTTTATTAAACCTGAGACTTTCAGGACAGAAGCCCCTTTGTTGATAGTGCTTGTTATGTTGTGTTGTGTTGTGTTGAACTCTGGCGCAAAACAAATTTCTCTAGGGGAAAATAATAAGAAATTTCAAGTTGGAGAGTCAGTATCTGTATCTCTGTATAGTAAACAGTAGTAATCTGTATAGCACACACAGACACTTCATGAGCCCCTGCGGGGGGGAGGAGAGATTCCCACATCATACGCGTGTTTTGAAAGAGGATGCAGATTTCTAGATACCGAACCTGTGACCTGAATGTGATGGAAGTTCAGTGGAAGTCCTTCGCCTTCGCGACAATGAGGAAAAGGAACAAGGTCTTGTCTTGTCTGAGGTATGCGGTCTTGCTGCTTTTAAATGACAACAATACGACTGGCCAGTGACCAGTGACTAGTGGCCAGTGGCCAGTGGCTCTTAGCCTTGGCTGCAGACTGAGTGGGCCTCAAAATCTGTTCTCACACCCCTTTCACCAAACAGTGAAGTGTGTCAGTTCCTTAAACCTCAGATGCGTCATAACTACAGATTGTAAGATAGAGAATTACTTTTTTAGAGAATTCAGCTTTAAAGAATGCTTCAGCTTTAGAGAATGTCATTAGGACCTGTCTTTGAAGCTTTAGAGTCTAGAACTGCCCTTCTACTGCAGATGAGATCCAATTCCCACATGGCTGCCCAAATACCTTCCTATTTCAAGCTCCCGTGTACTACGACCTGAAAACTAAAGGCTGTACGATCAGCTGGGATCCAGATTCCCACCCAAGCAAGGTGTCTGTTTTGTTTCAGAATGGTGTAGGAACGGCTCACGTTCATATCTGCGCTTGCTGAAAATGGTGTTTCAAAGGATACATTCCGACCACAATACCACAGCCCGCATACCACATTGGCATGGTTATGTATTTGTCACACAATAAGGAGGTTGTACTGAATTTAAGGAAGAAGAACAGAGGTTTTACTGGTGGGCACTGCATCAAAAATGTTATTATTCCGAGTCCTGGGCCCTTTTTAAACAGTTATTGATCAGTAGGAAGTTTTAATACAAATGAAAAACTATAGAATATCAGAAAATGCAGCACATCATTCCTCTGCTGAGAGCAAGACGGGCAGGAAACCAAATCTCATGAATAAGAAGACAAATCAATAGAGTGGGAAATTTAGTAGGCAGTCAAAAGACATTTTACGGGCAATTTAATCACCTGGCACAACAGCATTGTTCTGTGGCCAAAACCCTTTACTGTAACTCCTTGGACAAACACTGCTCTGTTCTTCACTTGGGATAATTGCTGTACATTTTGCCATCTGATGTAGACAGTTTTTGCTTTTATCTGTTAAATGTTTAAAATTATGAAACAATGTAGAAAATTGTGATATCTTCAAAAGCATATGCTGATCCTGATGGTGACCCACCAAATTGTTATTTAAACAGTCATATAGGTTTCTGCTGTTCTCTATGATGATAGAGAGGATGATAATCTATCAAGAAACCAAGTCAAATTGATATGTTGTGCAATATCTGAGTGTTACTGCAATCGTGTGTTTACCTCTCATAGGCAGTACCTTGGCATTTGAGTATCAGTTATCAGTGAATCATGCTCTGTCATCGAAAAAACAGAAAGCAACCTGGATGAAACAGAAGTATTTCTTAGTGTGAGTGTGTGTTGGCATGCTCTGAAAAACAAGCTTTTTAATTTCTGAAACATGAAAAGTAATTGAAAATACCTGTCGTCCAAAAGTCAAAATAATCACTGAGAGACGTTTCTTAACAACGTCTTAACAACGTCAACAGACTGCTCAAGCCAAACTGCCCCACCACATTACCTGCCTCATCACAACTTTGCAACACATTCTTAGATTTCTTTAGTTCTAAGA